TTCTGGAAGGGGTTGCGACCTGGTGGGAGGCAGCAGAAAGCGGGAGGACGGGGGGCGAGGTATGGGCAATGCGTGTCCTGCCTGGGTCTCTTCTCCCCCCCCACACACATTCACCCACCGTGGGAAGTTTCTTTCCCAGCAGGAAAACGTCCTCCTTCCCTCCTGCTTCGCTGGGGCTCGCTTAACCACTAAGATGGGACCAGGACACCCCCCTCTTCACCCCAAAGAGAAACTACTTTGGCAAATACAGGAAGAACCCAATACAAACTAGTCTGACTCAGCTGCAGCTACAACGGACACTGGTTACAAAGAATCCAAGTCCAAATGCAGAACTGGTAACAGCAATTAGGACTGGCAAGACTAGAACAGAAACACTAAAAGGTACACAACCATCAAATAATGACACCGGATCCCTCCTGGAGCAAAAATGAACACTTTTTTTTAAAAGACAGAATCGATAAAAGAAATTAACCCAACCGTAGACCCTGACCAGCAAATCAGAAAAGACAAATTTTAAACTCACGAATCCGAAATGACAATTTTGGAAACCCGTGAAAGGGGTTTGAGGACCATTTGAGGACCATTCTAGCTAGCCAGGGATTCATGCTGAATTGTCAACTCAACTTTAATCTCCGTGATTAAACCTCTCTTTCCAGTAACTGGCTTCATGTGCTATTTCAGTGTTTTTCAACCTTGACAATGTTAAGGCATGTGGACTTCAACTCCCAGAATTCCACAGCCAGCATTTCAACTCCCAGAATTCCACAGCCAGCAATGCTGGCTGTGGAATTCTGGGAGTTGAAGCCCACATGCCTTAAAATTGTCAAGGTTGAGAAACACTGTTCTATTTGTTCTCCTCTGTGGCCACCCTCAACAGTGGAGTAATCCATTCCTGTTTGCATTTGAGCAAGGAAGTAAACAACAAAAAGTCCCTCCCCCCCCCCCGCAGCTTCTCCTTTGATTAAACTTGCTTCCTCTTATTTTTTAAAAATTTCTGCTATCAGCTTATAAACGAGGGCCATACACGCAACACATGGAAGGTTTGAATAACCAGTGGCTCCCGTGGGACAATGACATTTGGCGTTTAATTTGTCATCAGTTCCCAGTGACTTTCTGAGCAAGGAGTGAAGTTCAAAGAGAGGACATTTAGCGTTTTGCCCAACCTGTTCTTTCTGGGTCTCTCCTGAGCAAAAGTGGAAGTCAAAAGTGTATGTTTACAGTTCTCGTTGACTCCCCCCCATCCCCCAGCCAGGCATTCAATCAGCTCTTTCCTAATCATAACTGTGTCAACTCTACAAGGAACTTGGCTGCAGCCTCCTAATCGTTCCAAGTTGCCACACAAAAGGGAGGGGGGACTGGAGTCTCTATGTTAGTCTAAACAATACTGTGCCCGTGGGAACCAAGCTCATTCTCTCGCTGGGGAGATGGAGGGGGCAGGGGTGTCGGGCATTTTGTTAACATTGGATGTTCTTGCTTTGACAACATATGAAGATGCAGCCTTTTTCTTTCTTATGCTTTACTTTTAGAATTAGATGATGCTGGGGGAGGAGGCAGAATGTGGTGAGAGTTCGTTAGGCATAACAATATTGTACTAGCCTATGAAATAAGAGATGATAAGAATTGGCAGTGGCAGAACAGGAGGGAAAGCCTGCATTTCAAACTAATTGGACAATGTGATTTATGACTGTTAATTGAAGGAGGGAATTGTGCTTTGATACTATGTGCTCAGGGGAGGGGAATCTAGTTTTTGGCTTCAACTATGCTAGTGCCGAAGCTATGCTACTCCCATAAAGATTCTTTAAGGTAAACAATGCCTTGAAGAAGAGTTTCATCTGTCGGAACCATGATAGTATAAATTATTGTTTTGTACTGGGGTGGGAACTTTTACTTTATAATAGTGTAACTCTTTGGAGGGAATTTCAGACATAGTTTCACCTTTGATTGTGCCGATATTTTGAATACAATAACACGTTCTTTGAGCAGGCTTTAAGCCTCGGGGTTCTGATTTTTTTGGTTCCATCTATCAGAACCTTTGACAAACAGTCTGGACTGTGATCAAGGGTGGCTTCTTCTGGGTGTGGTGCACATTCCCAGATCCTGAATTCTCCATACTCTGTAGGGTGCAAAACTCCAAGCAGCTCCTGTCCTGCTGGTCTTCCAGGTGGTGGGCATGTAGGGTCCCATGGGGTCGCCCTCACTAGATTTGCCCAGCTGTTTCCAAGGTCAGCCAAGAGATAACAACAACAACAACAACAACAAACAACAATGATAATAAAGTTGGAAGGGACCTTGGAGGTCATCTAGTCCAACCCCCTGCTCAGGCAGGAAACCCTACACCATTTCAGACAAATGGCTGTCCAGTTTCTTCTTTAAAACTTCCAGTGTTGGAGCATTCACTGCTTCTGGAGGCAGGTTGTTCCACTCGTTAATTGTCCTCACTGTCAGGAAGTTTCTCCTTAGTTCTAGGTTGCTTCTCTCTTTGATTAGTTTCCATCCATTGCTTCTTGTCCTGCCTTCAGGTGCTTTGGAAAATAGCTTGACTCCCTCTTCTTTGGGGCAGCCCCCGAGATACTGGAACACTGCTATCATGTCACCCCTCATGCTTCTCTTCATTAAACTAGACCAGGGGTAGTCAACCTTGGCTCTTTTATGACTCGTGGACTTCAATGCCCAGAATTCCTGAGCCAGCCATGCTGAGGGGAAAGGGAGTTTCCAAGCTGAGCCATGTTGGCTCAGGAATTCTGGGAGTTGAAGTCCACAAGTCATAAAAGGGCCAAGTTTGAAGACCCCTGGTTTAAATATTTAAATATTTTTTCCTCACGGTCACCTGATCAAAATTCAGGCATTTGGGCAAGGGTAGGCAACCTTGGCTCTTTTATGACTCATGGACTTCAATGCCCAGAATTCTTGAGCCAGCCATGCTGAGGGGAAAGGGAGAGGTTTCCAAGCTGAGCCATGCTGGCTGAGGAATTCTGGGAGTTGAAGTCCACGAGTCATAAAGCGGCCTAGGCCTAGGCCAGAGGTAGGCAACCTTGGCTCTTTTATGACTAGTGGACTTCAATTCCCAGAATTCCTGAGCCAGCCATGCTGAGGGGAAAGGGAGAGGTTTCCAAGCTGAGCCATGCTGGCTCAGGAATTCTGGGAGTTGAAGTCCACGAGTCATAAAAGAACCAAGGTTGCTTACTCCTGAACTAGACACACCCAATTCCAGCCACAGTTCCTTATATGTTTTAGCCTCCAGTGCCCTGATCAGCATTGTTCCTCTTTGTTGCTGCTTGAGACTTCTTTCAGGGTTAGTCTCATGACTTGAATCCTCAAAGTAAAGCAGACAGTTGATCTTCCTGTTAGAGAGCTGCTTTTCACGATAGCATTGAGGGAGGAGCTGGAGCTGCAGACCTCTCCTCATTTCTATTCTCCACCCTCTTCTCCTTCCAGGCTCCTTCAGGCACTCCCTGTGCTATTCCTATCTGAAGGTGTCAGAACCCAGCCAGGGGCTGCCCCACTTCCTCTCCATGGTCCACCTGGATGACCAGCCCATCGCTCGCTTTGGCAACCACACCAGGAAGATGGAACCTCTGGTGCCCTGGATGGAGATGGAGGAGACAAAGATCTTTGTGGCTCCTGAATGGGTGCTCAGGGCTGACCTGGAGATGTTATCAAACTTCAACCACCAGACTAGAGGTGAGCAGAGGCTGATCTGCCTTCAAGACCCAAATTCTCCCTCCAATCTTACTTTTTGCCTCTTGTCACTTTAATTATCAGGAGAGGGGAAACAGGCAAAATCCTAAAAGTTTTGGAAGAAACAGCGACTCCCCAGATTCTTCCTCAGAGATAAGCTCAAGGGAGGAGGATCTCATTCTTGACACATCAGGAACTGAGTTAATTAATGACTCTGAACAGCTGGCTGAATGGAGGAGGCTTCAGCTGGGGAAAGCTTGAAAGGGGCAGCAACCAGCAAAGAGGAGGAGGAACTACCTTCTGCACCTGATCCGAGAGCATGCAGGGCAGAGAAAAGGCAGGAGCAATGGAGGTCAGCCAGACTACTTGGTAGGAGAAGGCCCCGTCCATCTTGATGGGCTGCACCAGAAAGCTGGCTATTTATCACAGCAGAAAGAGGGAGGCGTTGCTAGGAACAACTTGTTGGTTTGCTGGCCGTTTGTTTGATTGTCCTGCTTCAGCATGTTGGAATTGTGCCTTGGGGACTCTGACCTTTTCTTGCTAAGTGAGTTTTTGTGTGTGTGTTTATTTAATTCTGGCCTGGTGGATTTAAGTTTGTTTAGTGGAGCTATTGGTTTGAGCAACTTTCACTTGCTTTTTGGGCTATTGACCAATTGCTTTTTGGACTAATCTTGGCTTGCTTGTGGCTGGACTTATTGGGACAGTTCTGAGTATTGGTAAGGGGAATTTCTGGGGAGCATTACTAAACTCACTGAACCACAGTTATGTGTGTGGGTGAGTGGGGCATCAAATAACCATGACCTAGATGATTGAGAATTTCCAAAGCTGGCCAAGACTAGAAAGTGGGTGGCTGGGGACTTCAATGGTTGACATGATTTGGAAAGGAAAATATCATTTGACTAAGCCCCAGCACGATTTTTCATGATGCTCGTAATATAAGCCCCACCCCTAAAATAAGCCCCAGTTAAGATTGCCAGCTAGACGGATGCATTTAGTATCATATTTCTATGAAAATAAGACCTAACTGGAAAATAAGTCCTAATGAGTCTTGTGCAGCAAAAATTAATATAGGACCCAGTCTTATTTTCGGGAAAACATGGTATCAACAGTTGCAAGGGGCATAATGGTGAGAGATCCTTCCTGTAAAAGAAAAAAAAAAGCACCTCCTACGCCTTCAAGATATCTTTCATGGACTTCATGATGTGGCACTATCCCCAGAAGACCAAGTACAGCCCCTGATCACAAAAGAGATTCCCCACCCCATTGAAAGAAAAAGGGGAGGAAAGATCCAAATTCCTTGGTGGGATGTTGCTTAATTTCCTGGTGGGATGTTGTTCGATCACTAAATTGTGTCCAACTCTTTGTCACTCCATGGACCACAGGATGCGAGCCCCCCCCCAAATCCTCCATTGTCTCCTGGAGTTTGCCCAAATTCATGCTCACTGCATCAATGACACTATATAACCATCTCATCACCTGCTGTCCCCTTCTCCTTTTGTCTTCCATCTTCCCCAACGCCAGAGTCGTCTCTTCCCATCTGGTGGGCAAAGTGTTTGAGCTTCAGCTGGTGGGACGGAAGTAAACATTTGAATCAAGCGTGGGGTGTCCAGGGGAGAGGAATTTCGAACTATTCCCACCCCCCTCTGGGTCTCTTTCAGGGCCTCACACCTGGCAGGCAATTTTGGGCTGTGAGCTCTGGGAAGACGGGAGCTGTTATGTCCCGAGCCTTGCAAACGGCTCGGGCGTTTGCAGGCAGTCCCGGGCAGGTGCAAAGCTGCCCGGGACCAGACAGGCTGTCGCCAGCGCCGTGCGCATGCGCGGGTGCTGGCGCGGGAAAAGTAACCCATTTACCCGGGAGTTGCCTATATAAGAGGCTGTGAGGCGTTTGGGCTGAGCTGAAGCCATCTTCCTGTAAGCTGAACGCTGAATAAAAGAACCTGAGAACTCCAGCTGCTTCTCGTGTCTGTTTTCCCGCCAAGGACGCAACACTGGCGACGAGGATGGGATGCCTTGCACTACCTGGAAAGGAAAAAGTGTAAGCTTACCCAAGGAGTCCTGAGCGGCGGAAGAGGAACGGTGTTGACTCAGCAGCTGCCCGCCAATCCAGTGCGCATTCGGGGGTAGGCTGGCTGATAGACCCGTCTCCTGAAGATCCGAAGATGGCGAAAATCGGAAGGCTTGCGGAATTCGACGTCTCACATCCAGAGCGGTGGGAGTCCTACGTATCCAGAATGGAGAACTACTTCAAGGCAAACCAAGTGAGGGAAGATAGCTTGAAGGCTGCCACCCTGCTTTGCGCTTGCGGCCAAGACGCCTTCGAAATCGCAGAAAACCTTGCAGCACCTGTTCCAGTAGAGTCTGTAAGCTACGCAGACCTGAAGAAGCTGCTGAAGGACCACTTCCACCCCAAGGTGTCCGTTATCTCATGGCGCCACACCTTCGAGCAGAGGGATCAACGGTCCGGGGAGTCAGCCAAGGAGTACATCGCCGCGTTACGGAAGGCCGCCAAGCCCTGCGAGTTCAAGGACCTCGAGGAACGACTGAGGGACCGATTCGTGTGCGGGTTGAGGCATCGAGAGCTACAACAGAGACTTTTCGCTAAGGAAGAATTATCCTTCCAAGACGCTTTAAGGGAAGCCACCGCGGAAGAAGCAGCAGGCGGCGCCGTCAAGAACATGCGGCCGATCAGAAGCAGTGCAGAGGGTGCGTCCGTGCACCAAGAAGACGTCCGACGAAACTCCGAGGAGGATCCGGACGAAGAAGTCGACCGTCTACACCCCGCGAAGGGAGAAAATCAGAAGGAAAGCTCTTCAGCTCCGCTCAAGTGCATCGGCTGTGGAGGTCGCCACAGGAGAACCGACTGCAAGTTCCGCTCCGCTACCTGCCGGGCATGCGGCAAACAAGGGCACATTGCAGCTGTGTGTCTGGGCCGACGAAAGGCACAACCTCAAGAAGAACGCCTGAAGGGTACCAGAGTCCCCAGCCAGAATAGGGTAGGTTTTTGCGCTTCGCGTAGAAACATTTGTAGGACAGGCACACACAAGCCCATGAAGAAAAAGCTGTCACTCAAAGTGAAGCTACAAGGGGTTCCATTATCTATGGAACTAGACACAGGGTCTGCCCTTTCCATCATTTCATTGCATACATTTAGGAAGATTTGTTCCAGTAGTGGGACTAAGGCCAAGTTAAGGCCTTCTGATATTGTATTAACTGATTTTCAGAACTCAAGAGTGTGTGTTAAGGGGGAGGCCACCCTTAACGTGCAATACAAGAGTTTTGAAGGTCCACTAGACTTGTTAGTAGTAGGGGGTGAAAGAACGAGTCTCATAGGACTCGATTGGTTTGAGGCCCTGGGGATACACGTCACAGGACTCAACAGCTTACAAACACTCGACCTACAGGAAGTCTGCAAGGAATTTGCAGATGTTTTCAGCCCCCAGCTGGGCACATTCAAAGGACCACCTGTGTCCTTAAAGCTAGACCCCACTGTCACTCCCATTAGGATTAAAGCAAGAAGGGTCCCTTTTGCTTTAAAAAGTAAGATTGACACTGAATTAGACAAACTAATCCAACAAGGAATCCTAGAACCTGTTGATTCCAGCCCATGGGAGACCCCCATTGTCACGCCTCTAAAGGCAAATGGGGACATTCGCATTTGTGCTGATTACAAATGCACACTCAATAAGGCATTGCAGCAACATGCCTATCCTGTTCCTGTGGTCAGTCACATCCTGGCCTCTCTCAAGGGGGGGGCGTGTTTTTGCAAAGCTTGACCTAGCTCAAGCATATCAACAGCTGCCTGTTGATAATGATGCTGCCATAGCTCAGACTATTGTGACCCACAGGGGAGCCTTTAAGGTAAAAAGGCTGCAGTTTGGAGTGAATGTCGCTCCTGGGATTTTCCAAAGCGTAATGGAAAACACACTACGAGGTATACCAGGGGTCTGCCCCTACTTTGACGATGTCTTGATTGCAGGAGACTCCACACACATTCTAGCTGAAAGGCTTAGGGCTGTCCTGTTAAGATTCAGGAAATCAGGCCTCAAGCTCAGAAAAGACAAATGCAAGATTGGGGTGCCTTCTACTGAATTTCTGGGATTCAAAATTGATGCTGCTGGGATTCATCCTGCTGAATCCAAACTAACTGCTATTTTAGAAGCACCCAGGCCAAAGTCTAAGGCCGAACTTCAGGCCTTCTTAGGCCTCCTGAATTTCTACAATTCTTTTCTTCCACATAAAGCTAGTGTAGCTGAGCCTCTTCACAGGCTACTAGACAAACAAGCTGTGTGGCTGTGGTCACAAGCACATGAGGCTTGCTTTAAAGAAGTCAAGGCCTTGCTCACTTCTAACAGTGTTCTTGCACATTTCAACGAGTCTCTTCCTGTGTGCATCGCTTGTGATGCATCCCCCTACGGGGTTGGAGCTGTCCTGAGTCACCTCAGGTCTGATGGAACTCAGGTTCCTATTGCATACTACTCCAGAACACTGTCTTCTGCCGAGCGCAACTACGCTCAGATAGACAGGGAGGCTCTGGCTGTTGTTGCTGGAATTAAAAAATTCCACGATTTTCTATATGGCAGGCATTTCACGGTCTTCACTGACCATAAGCCTCTGCTGGGACTGTTTACCACACGTAAGCAGACTCCCCACATCATTTCCCCTAGAATGCTTAGGTGGTCTATTTTTTTGTCTGCATATGATTTTTCATTACTCCACAAGCCTGGGAAAGAAATGGGCCATGCTGATGGCCTCAGTAGGTTGCCTCTGCCAGTAGTAGAAGCTGACCCCGCGCCAGCTGTCAACATTCTATCAATCCAAGCCTTGCCCGAGCTTCCTCTTAGTGCCAGGGATGTTACCGCTGAAACAGGTACAGATCACACACTTTCACGTGTCCGCTCCTGGGTCCTGTCCGGGTGGCCTGAGCACTGCCCTAGTCCTGAGTTTCAGAGTTTCTGGTCCAAAAGGAACGAATTGTCCCTTTCTCAGGGTTGTTTGCTTTGGGGAAACAGAGTTGTCATTCCCACCTCAATGAGGACTAGGGTCTTAGAATCCCTCCACGAGGGTCATCCTGGCATTGTTCGTATGAAGGCTCTTGCACGCAGCCACTTGTGGTGGCCTGCTTTAGATAAAGATATTGAGGCTAAGGTACACGCATGCCACATGTGCCAACGATCTCGCCCAGAGATGCCCCAAGCTCCTGTGCATAAATGGGAGGAAACACAGTCCCCATGGTCTAGGGTGCACATTGACTACGCTGGGCCCTTTCAGGGCCAGTTCTTCTTGGTCCTTGTTGACAGCCATTCAAAATGGCTTGAGGTTGTGCCTGTCTCATCCACCACCACTGCAAAGACTATTCAGGTACTGAGGGGGATTTTTGCTGCACACGGGCTGCCAGATGTCATTGTGTCCGACAACGGCCCTCAATTCACCTCCTCCGAATTCCAAGCTTTCTTACAGGCAAACCTGATTCGTCATGCCACATCTGCGCCTTTTCACCCGTCCACCAACGGTATGGCTGAACGCATGGTGCGCATCGCAAAGGACGCCTTGAAGAGACTCACCTACGGGGACTGGCATCACAGGTTGGCTGACTTTCTCCTTTCTTATCGCACCACACCGTCCACTTCTACAGGGAGAAGTCCAGCTGAACTTCGTTGGGGGCGCCAACTTACTACGAGACTTGACCGGTTGCATCCGGACAGACTGCCTTCATCTACCTCACATCCTAGGGCACCTAGACAACTACTTGTGGGTGCCCCGGTTTGGGCTCGCAATTACGGGCCTGGTCATACATGGGTCCCCGCTTCTGTGTCCAGGATCACAGGTCCTCTCTCCTACGAGGTTGCCCTGGACAACGGTCGTGTCCTGCGTCGGCACATCGACCAACTCCGCTCTAGGCGGGACTTTTCTGCTGAAACTCCTGGGTCTTTTCCAGGGGGGGAGGGGGACCCTTTGGAGCAAAGGGAAGGGCAAGAGCTACTGCCCATCGCCACTGAGGGAGCCACAAACGGCTCGTCCCAAGGTTCTGCAATTGCTCCGAAAAGGAAGTCTTGGAGCTTACCCACACAACAGGCACTCACGCCTACTCCAGCCAGGGAGTTACCCCGGGGGCATACTCACTTTCCACACACAGCACACAGCACTCCAGCAACGGAGGATACCCGGGGGCATCCCAACAAATCATTCCCCGCAAGAGAGCTGGCACACAATGCCCAAGGTTGGCCTGACCTTACCCCAAATCCTACAGGGGGTCAAACATACACAGAGCTAGTCGAGGAACCAAGTCCCGACTACAACACCCCTAGCACAAATCAGGGGACACCTGAGTTTTGGGAGAGTACAGAAACCCACACGAGCCCAAACACAGAATGGGGTTCAGGGAATAGACAGCCTCCTGACAGGTCTTGGACTGACCTAGGGGGTTCTACAGAGACGCCCAGCAGTGGCTATCACTTCAAGGGGCCTGAGGGTCTACAGCTAGGTAGGACAACCAGGTCACAAAGCAACAGAAGCCCTGGCCTGACGAGCCCGGTGGGCAAGCAAGCAGGCCAGGCATCGGGGCACAGTCCTTGGAAGACACCAGGGCACAGTAGAGAGAACAGGCTCATGCCTCCCTCCAGTCAGGGGACTTATGCCAGTAACCCAGAGCTAAGAAGGTCACAGAGAGCAAAGAAATCTCCTAAGTACCTAGAAGATTACATAACATTGTTGGCAAGACAGAAGCCAGTAAACAGTGGGAACACTGGGGAGCAAATTGTCGTGTAAAATAAATGTTGTATGTTGATAGTAGTTTTAGCCCGGGGGAAAGGGGTGTTATGTCCCGAGCCTTGCAAACGGCTCGGGCGTTTGCAGGCAGTCCCGGGCAGGTGCAAAGCTGCCCGGGACCAGACAGGCTGTCGCCAGCGCCGTGCGCATGCGCGGGTGCTGGCGCGGGAAAAGTAACCCATTTACCCGGGAGTTGCCTATATAAGAGGCTGTGAGGCGTTTGGGCTGAGCTGAAGCCATCTTCCTGTAAGCTGAACGCTGAATAAAAGAACCTGAGAACTCCAGCTGCTTCTCGTGTCTGTTTTCCCGCCAAGGACGCAACAGGAGCCAAAGAGGGTTTTTGCACTATGGCTACGACGGGAGTGACTTCATCAGCTTCGACAAGGAGACGCTCAGATGGGTGGCAGCTCAGCCGCAGGCCGAGAAGGTCAAGGAGAAGTGGGAGGAGAATCCAGGATGCTCCCAGAGAAACAAATTCTTCCTGGAGAAGACCTGCATTGAGTGGCTGCAGAGGAAGCTGTCCTACAAAAATGAGGCTCTGCAGAGGACAGGTGAGTGGCTAAATGGGTCCTATTGTGCAATTTTTTGTAGGCTCCTGCCTCTTCCCTTCCTCATATTATTTCTTTTCTGCCCAGCACAAAATGTGCCTGGAACAAAAAGAGCTGGGCATTTACCAAATCAAAATTCAGGACTTATTTGAAGGATCATTCACAAGAAAGATTCATTTCAGTTTGGAGAAGATGGATAAATTATATTCAGAATAAATATGGGACTAAAAAGTTCCACTTAGTTTATGAGTAAATCTTAAGAGTATTATTAATAGTTTATTATAGTGGAATATTATTATTATTTTTAGTATTAGTATTGTTTAACAGTTTGGATATTGTATTGTTTAATAATTAGTTTAATAATTAGGATATTATGTTTATGTTTTTACTATTATTATGTTTACTTTTAATTTGTTTATATTTATGCTAAAGGGGAGTTAAAGCGCATTATGGATTTGGTTATTGATATAGTTGGTTAATGTTAGTTAGATTATGATTATTATAATTGTAACCCTGTATTCAGCTCTGGGAAGTGGGGGAGGGAGAGGGGGGTTGGGGTTTATATTGTAACTTTTATAAAACTTTTCAATAAAAAATAATTCAGGACAGGGGAACGATCCTTTAATGCCCCCCTCCCGAGTTAAGTTCTTCAAAGATAACAAAAACGAAATGAAGTGAGCAAGATATTAAGATTGAAATCCATTCCCATTTCCATGAGGAAATCCTGCAAAGCAGAATAAATTCTAACTCTCATCTTCTGTATTTGGGGGCAGAATTAAAAGATGAGTTTGTTCCTGATTTCCATCTAGACCAGTGGTTCTCAACCTTTTTAATGCCGTGACCCCCAACCGGTCGTAAGTTGAGGACTACTCAACCGGTCGTAAGTCAAGGACTACTCCACTGGTGCAGCACCATTTGCAGAATGGGACTTTTGGCGGGCTCAGCAGGGCAGAGACAGCCTGGACAATTCCTATTGGCTTTTGAAAGCCAATAGAATTAGACTCTATTCAAGAGAGTCTATTCTATTGGCTTTCAAAAGCCAATTGAATAAAAGGGAGTAGCACAGCTAAGGAAAAGGGGGAAAAAATGGCGGACTGAGTTGTTTGGCGACCCCCGTGAAATGGTCGTTCGACCCCAGATGGAGTCCCGACCCACAGGTTGAGAACCACTGGTCTAGATAGAACCAACCTGAACAAATTCAATGTGGGATGTCAAAACTGAGTTAACCCCCAAGCAGTACAATTATCTTGGTCAGAGTGAGAACTTTACCCCAAAGTCTATGTGTCTCTTTCAAAAATAAAGCTAAAGAGTTCAATGCCCCCATCTTTGAGGGGCCTGGAGGTTCAGGAGAGGAGAGGGAACAGGGGGAGAAGATAACCAAATGAGGTCTTCCCTAATTTTAGATCCTGGGAATTGTGTTGTTGCTGTTTCTACAGAGCCCCCAGTGGGGAAGGTGACTCGTAAGGTGGTTGATGACAGCCTGGAGGTCCTCATCTGCCAGGCCTTTGGCTTCTACCCCAAGGAGATCCAGGCCACCTGGACCAGGGACGGAGAGGCCTGCGTGTACGAGACCCTCCCTAGGAACGTGGCCCCCAACTCAGATGGCACCTATTATGTCTGGCTCAGCATTGAGATCGACCCCAAGAAGAGGGACCATTTTCGTTGTCACCTGGAGCACCAGGGCTTGCAGGAGCCCCTGATCTTGGCCTGGAAGGAGGAAACAGGTGAGAGGCTGAGACATGTCACGTATTTGGACCAACAGGGAACATCAAAAAAAAAAAAAACACTCAACAAAATTTTTTTCCCCTCAATGGATGTTGGCCTTCCGTTGGGAGCACTGACGAGAAAACTCCATTTTGCTCCTAGCTGCTTAACTTTGTTGCCTAGTTGTTTGTAGTCCCTCTCTATTGCATTCAGGTTGTTTGTTGTGTCATTCGTTCCAATGTGGAGAAGGAGGAAGGGGTAGTAATCTGTGGGCCTAATTATTTTGGTTAGGTTCTCAGCTACATCTTTGATTTTTGCTCCAGGGAGACAGCATACCTATCTGGATTGTATGTTTGGTCTACAGATGGATGATTCTGTTCTTTTGAGGATAGAATCTCCTATTATCAACACTCGCCTTTCTATTTTGGGGGGGGGGCTGCAGTCTGGGGTGCTTTTCTGATGCTGCTTCCTACTCTGCCGCCATCTTGGACTCGATCTGTGTCCAAGTGATTATTGACAGGGGAGTTGAAGTGGAAACTTAAGAACAAAGGTATGAAAATGTCTGAAATGATATAGACCAGTGGTGGCGAACCTATGGCACGGGTGCCAGAGGCGGCACTCAGAGCCCTCTCTGTGGGCACGTGCGCCGTCGCCCCTGTCCTAGGCCTTCAGCTGGGTTTTATAAAACTTTTTCACTTTAGGCCTCCGCCGCCGTGTGCAAAAAAAAAAAAAAAGGTTAAATCAATCAGTCAATTTCAACTTCTCGCGGGGAAAAAAAAAGATCTTGCAAAGTTGGAATTGATTGATTGAACTTTTTAGTCCCACCCAGTCTGCTGTTACCACTGCAGCTACGCCCACCCAATGGGCCACAGCCACCCAATGGGCCACCCCCACCCAGCACCTGACGATGCATAAGAGGGTTTTGGGTTGCAGCTTGGGCACTCGGTCTCTAAAAGATTCGCCATCACTGATATAAATTCTCCTGCTTAAGGTCCCTTCCAGCTCTATTCTATTCTAAAATATGACACAGTATGATACGATATGGAGATAGAAAATACGAGAGACACAAAACACACTTTTTTTTTTGCTTTCTGGTAGAATTATCTGATCGGACAATTATCTGATCTGGTAGAATTATCTGATCGGACTAGGTCAGGGCTTTTCAACATTTTCACCCATTGTACCACTTTTAGGATATGGCAACATCTGAGTACCACCAGTTGCCTAGCAAGGTGTCAAAAACTTGATGACCCCCCTCAAAAAGGAAAAAAGTGATAAAGTACAGGTAGTCTTCGACTTACAACAGTTCGCTTAGTGACTGTTCGAAGTTACAATGGCACTAAAAAAAGTGCCCCCAAGCCACAGCCGAGCAAGACACCTGCCTGCCCGCCCGGCGGTGCTCTTCCTCCTCTCCGAGGTTTTCATTGTTGTGAGCATTTCTGTTGAGGATTGGCAGCAGGGGTGAGGTGGGGGGAGTGTTTGTTTTTTATTCCCTGCCCCCCCGTCTGCTGGGTCATTGCAGCAGGTTTTGGTCACTTCACATGACCCTGGGACACTATGACTCTCATAAATATGAATCAGTTGCCAAGCATCTGAATGTAAATCTCAAGACCCTGGAGATGCTGCAACATTCCAGCTGATTGGTGCTTCTTCAGGACTCAGCAGAAGCACCAGGATCAGCGCCGAGCTCCAGCTGGAGCCTGGCGTTGATCCTAGTGCTGCCACTGAGCTCTGAAAGCCCCGATCAGCACCAATCAGCTGGAAAGCGGCACTGATCCTGGCGCTTCCACTGAGCCCTGATGATCCTGCGTCTCCACCCATCTCTCACGGTTCAGCTCATTCCCCTCCCCCACTACCACTTTTCTAGGATGGTCGTGTACCACCTGCCAGGTGCCAGTGTACCACAAGTGGTACCCATACCACTGGTTGAAAAGCCCTGCACTAGGTCATTCAATGTCCCTTTCAGCAGGGGAGGCTGGGCCAATGTCAGCTACTTCAGAACTACTCTTTTTACAAAACTATAATACTATAACTATTGCAGTCTGCACATGCTTCCTCTTCCTTCCATTTATCTTCATGTAAACAAGGGAGTGTTCTGTGAGACACATGTATTTAATCTGATTTCTTGGCCCAGGCTGAAGCGCCATTTATTTGACTGCCATCTTGATTGTGGCTCTTCCTTCTGCCCTTCAAAGCCTTTCGCTCTGCCCACTTGAGACTTGTAGGGGAGGGGCTTCCTTCAAGTGGAGACACTGCCTGGAGGGCCAGTTCAGATGGGGAAATGCTTCCGTTGCTTAGCATCTCCGTGTCATGTTCCGGTTGAAAAACCCAACAAAGTAAACACACAGGAGACATTGCAATCCCCTAATGTCAAACTTTATTAGGCATAGCATACCGGCAGGGTAGAAAGAAAGCTAGCTCTGGCAATATGGTGGGAAAAAGATAATTAAAAGAGTAAAACTTTCCCTCCCCTCTCTGACAGCTCAGCTCAGATTGTCCAATTAGCCTTCAAACATTTGTTATGAGAAGAAAGTCTCTCTTCGCCAAAACATCTCTCCGGTGACTTCGGCTCTCACGTGGATAGGAAACAGCTGTGGACCCCAAAACTTCCTCCTCCCCCTCACAACTGTCGGCAAGCTAGAAGCAAGTTGGCAGTTTTAATGACAAGAATCTTCATAGCTTGACACTCCATGTTGGGGAACTCAGTATCTGTCTAATCAGAACCATATTTCTCTTTCTTTAGATATATATGTTGTGGCATTTCCGTTGATCATCTTGATACTTATGACTGTTTTCCTAATCTGTAAGTGAAACACATCTATTGACCCCAAACCCTGTGTCTTTTTGTGTGGACTGATCTGGTGTGGGTGGGAGAGAGCCTCTCTGAGAGTTGCAGTCAGGATCCCCAAAAGACCCTTCCCCACAAACAGCATTTTGAATGAGAGTTAGAAAGGAAGAAGAAATGATGCAGACATTTCCTCACTTCCTGTAAATGTTCAACCTTGCTGTTATATGGAAGGGAGCCTCCTTAGCCTCCGCTGACTTTCTTCAGAGGAGTAACTATTAAATATCAGGGGCTCAGGAATCAAGGGAAAGCCTGATTAATAATCTCTGAAGTGCCAAGGAAAACCATTGTCTTGCCTTGGAGAGGATCCCAGTGTCTTCTCACCTGGCAAGAGGGACCTTCAGGTAAACTCCAGGGAGGTGGGCCATGGAGGGACGGGTGCCATGTCATCTGCCACTGCTTGCAAATCACACTTGGGAACAGACAACAAGAGAGGGGAAGGCCCGACGGTGGAAGGTATTACTGCTTGCTTGGCTCAGAGCAAGAGACGTGAGACATGGGAAGTGTCTCCTCAAATGACCTTCACCAAGTAACTGTGAGAAGGATCTCGGAGTCCTAGTGGACAATCACTTAAATATGAGCCAGCAGTGTGCTGCAGCTATCAAAAAAGTCAACACAGTGCTGGGCTGCATTAACAGAAGGATAGAATCAAGATCACGTGAAGTGTTAATACCACTTTACAATGCCTTGGTAAGGCCACACTTGAAAGACTGCATCCAGTTTTGGTCACCGCGATGTAAAAAAGATGCTGAGACTCTAGAAAGAGTACAGAGAAGAGCAACAAAAATGATTAGGGGACTGGAGGCTAAAACATATAAGGAATGGTTGCTGGAATTGGGTATGTCTAGTTTAACGAAAAGAAGGATGAGGGGGGGCATGATAGCCGTGTTCCAATATCTCAGGGGCTGCCCCAAAGAAGAGGGAGTCAAGCTATTCTCCAAGGTGCCTGAAGGCAGAATGAGAACCAATGGATGGAAACTGATCAAGTAGAGAAGCAACTTAGAATTAAGGAGAAACTTCCTGACAGTTAGAACAATTAACCAATGGAACAACCTACCTCCAGAAGTGGTGAATGCTCTAACACTGGAAGTTTTTAAGAAGAGACTGGACGCCATTTGTCTGAAATGGTATAGGGTTTCCTGCCTGAGCAGGGGGTTGGACTCGATGACCTCCAAGGTCCCTTCCAACTTTATTATTGTTGTTGTTGTTGTTGTTGTACATCCATGTTATTTTTTTTCAGCCATTTCTTCCCAGATGTGCCTGTTGGACTTGCTAGCAATTTGTCTCCCTCGCTTGCCAGTCTCAGGTGCAAATACTAAGCCAGTCAGACCTTACTTAGCTTTTCAAGATCAACCAAGGATGATGGTGCTTAGATCTTGCCGGGTTGGGACTGGGGTTTTGGAGTAGAAATCAAAACAAATGTTGCGAGAGTTGGATTCAGAATTACCATGTCTGGAAGCATATGGAGGACAACATCTGTCTTGTACCAATAGCAGAATTCCCAGAAGTTTAACATCATTGCTTAAAAGTAATTGAGGGTGGCCAAGATCCTCTTGGGAACAGCCCTGCTGGCCAGTTTTGAATGGCTTCAGTGGGGATGGGAAAAGTAAGACTGTGATGTCCCATCAGTGCTCTAATAGGAACACAGGCACTTTCAACTTGATTATTGCTTGATATCCCCAAGAATATCCCTTCCAGTTCCCCATGGTCAGCACCTCTAGACAGCCAACAATTTTGCCTTTCAGCTATAATAAACAAATCAAGAGGCTGGGCTAAAATCCAGGCAGCTGCATCATCTGGGCCTTTCAGGGTCTTCATCTTATATTCTAGAGCTGCTGCCCTAGAAATAAACTGTCTTCTCTTTCTGCCATATACAGTATTAGGCCACTGGCTGAGAAGCAGAAAAAAATTGCATCAGGATGTGACAACTTCCTCTGATGACAGTGATCTAGAAATGCATCCTTCTGTCCCAATTTACGGCACAGAAGATAAGATTCAACCGCAGGCGATGCTCCAGCCCAAAACTGCATCGGAGGTGAGACTCTGCTGTTGCTGAAGTCTATTTAAGAGATACAATTCCACACCTGAGAAATTCCGGAGAGCTTTTAACACCTTCAGGATCGTTTGGGGGAGGGGGGAATTTATATTTGAAGTCTTCCCAAGGCAGCCATGGAGGGATGGTGGGATGTCTGGGGCTCCTCTGGGGCTCAGCCCCACCTCTTGGGGACCCTTCGGTTGGCTGCTCTACAAGGGAAAATTGGTCAAAGCTCAGCTTCTCTGGCCCATCAGCTCCAAGGGAGGAGAGGGAGACAGGAAATGAGCTGGGAGCAGAACCTGGGGCATCCTGGGAAAATGGGGGGATTTCAGTCCAGGAAGGACAGGAGGGGAAGGGGGCGACAGGATGGACTGGAAAAACATGGGAGTGCCCGTCTAGGATAAAGGCTTCTTGGTGATGATGAGCTGGAGGTATAAGAGAGACGAGAGGAAGGAAACACTTGGGGGTGGGGAGAAGTGATGACCCCTTCCTAGAAGATCCCTCTTGTTTATATGGAGGGATATTGGAAACCTTTCTTCTCTTCGGCGGCGTCCTTCCCCACAGTGTTGCTGTGGGGGGAAGAGACAGCTACGGGAAGGAGAGAAAACACCCACATCTGATTACAAATAGGGTTGTTGACATCTTCATTTCCTCTCTTTGCAGCACAAGGTATCCTGTGGAGGGCAGTGGCCCCCGAAGTCTCCCAGAGCTACTGGACGAACATTTCACAGGCCGAGAAATGTTGCCCCAAAGAAGATGAGATCTTCCAGATTAGACATGATTAGACAAGATGCCTTCTCCACGGGCAACCTGGAATTAAAGAGAAACTTCCTGACAGTGAGGACAATCAACCAGCTTGCCCCCAGAAATTGTGGGTGCTCCATCACTGGAAATGTTTAAGAAGAGACTGGACAGTCACTTGTCTGAAATGGTATAGGTCAGTGGTGGCGAACCTAGAGCATGCGTGCCAGAAGTGGCTTTCAGAGCCCTCTCTGTGGGCACACATGCCATCGCCCCAGCCCCGCCACCCCCCATGGCCTCCTCCTCACCAGGAGCTCCCCCCATAGGAGAGTCATCCTGGACGCAGTCTCCACGGAGCAGTGCAGCCCAGGAGATGGCAACCAGGCAGTGGGGACAAGACTCCGCTCTCGCGCCCCATCACGTGCAGATGATGCTGCAGGGCGCAGACAGAGGGCGTGCCCGGCATGACACTCCTGGGCCTCCTGGGCGATCTGCTGTGGTGGGCTGTGGAGGCAGTGGGTGGCCCTGTGGGCAGGAGAGGCAGGGGTAGGGCAGGGGTGAGGCGGTTTTGGGCATTCGGTCTCTAAAAGTTCGCCATCACTGGTATAGGTTCTTCTGCTTGAGCAGGGAGCTGGACTAGAAGACCTCTCCTTATTTTAAGGGGCCCATCCCATCAGACCGGATAGGGTAGGGACATTATAGGTCTCTTCCATTAAGCATTGGCCCCTTGTGGACCCTGAGAAACAGGACTTTTCACGTACAGCCCCTGCCCTATGGAAGATTCCCCACAGGGGGATGCCCTTTTAATGTTCCCTGGGGAACATGTGACTTGTCTGTTACCACAAAACCCTGGATAGAGTGAGGACAGAATGAGAAGAGGTGTGGTCATTTTTCTATTTTAGGTCACATTATTGACCTAAAGCTATTTTCCAAGGCGCCTGAAGGCAGGACAAGAAGCAACAGATGGAAACTAATCAAGGAGAGAAGCAACCTAGAACTAAGGAGAAACTTCCTGACAGTTAGAATGGTTAACCAGTGGGATGGCCTGCCTCCAGAAGTGGTGAATGCTCCAACATTGGAAGTTTTTAAGAAGAGACTGGACAACCATTTGTCTGAAATGGTATAGGGTTTCCTGCCTGAGCAGGGGGTTGGACTAGATGACCTCCAAGGTCACTTCCAACTTTATTATTATCATTATTATTTTAAATGTTATGTATATACACTTTTAATGTTTATAATAAAAAACCTGAAGGCCTACCAATTTGAACTGTGGATGGATGTCTATAATACAAATGGTTTCACTAAAGAAATAAAGCCCTATGAAAAAAAGATAAAACAACTGACATTAAAAAGCTAGCCTCTCTCATGTCGGAAGAGCAATGAGGATACCTAGTTTTGTCTTAACCAGGTTTTGAGGGAAAAAGCCAAGGTCACCAAACACCAAGATCTCAAAAAACAGATGTCTGAATCAAGGCCCAGCTTGGTCCTGTTGAAAGAAAAGTCTTCATCGTGGTTCAGTCCAAGCTGAGAATAAACATGGTGACTGCTTTAGAAACAAGGTTGCAGTTTATTGAAGAGGAGAGCCAGACAGAAAGATGGCTCTGGCAGAAAAAATAGAGCGAGCACATGTAGGGAGTGGGTTTTTATACCCTCTTGAGCCTTTTGGTTGGAGTTGTTTCCTGTTCCTGTTTGAGGCTATTTCCTGTGTCATGTATTTTGATCTGTGTCCCTTTGGCATCTGTGAGTTAATCCTATTATGTCCTGTCTTAGACTCTGGGTGGGGTATGAAGATTTTAGGTGTCTTTGTCTTCTTAATCTTCTAGCTCCAACCTTCCTGGATTTATTTACATCTGCATTTCTATAGAGCTGGTTTCTGCTTGGGGGAGGGAGACAGAAAAACTGGGCATGCTTTTCTGCCTCTTTAAGATCCTTTGAGGAAATATATTTTTCTGCCCTTTTAATATTTCCTTTTCTGGGGAGCTGACTTCCCACATGCAGTTCTGACCCAAAGTGGGGGGCAGGGGAGGAGCATTTCCCCCTCCCTTCTGTCCTGTAGCTGCCCTTGGCTCCCCCGTCAGCCGAGGTCGAAGTTGGTGACTGAAGAATTGTTGGACTCAGAATTGTCTGTGGAGGAGGAGGAGGAGGAGACTGAGATGGCCCATCTGCTCTCCCACTTCCACCTCACCCCACAGGCAAGAAGATCCTCTGTTGAAAATTTCCAGTAATGTGTCAACACTGCTAGCATCGGATGTTCTTGCTTTGACAATATATGAAAATGCAGCCATTTCCCCCTTAATTTGTCTGTTACTTTTAGAGTTAGAATTAGATGATGCTGGGGACGGGAGAAGGAAGAATGTATATGGGAATTAGTTAGGCATAACCATCTAGTAGAGTGTTTTTTTTCAAGGCTGTTTGAAATAAGAGATGATAAGGAATGGTGGGTTAGAGAACTAGAGGGAAGGTCAGCATTTCAAACTAATTGGAGAATGTGATTTATGACTGTTAATTAGAGGAGGGAATTGTGCTTTGATATTATGTGTTTAGGGGAGAATTCAGATTTTGGCTTCGAGGATGCCATGGAACTTGAATAAAGATTCTTTAAGGTAAACAAGTTCTTTGAAGAGTTTCATCTGTCGGAACCATGACATAATGGGGCAGTAATGGGGAAGGGGTTTAGATTTTTCTCTGCATTGAAATCTGCCCCCTCCCACTTTCAGGGACACCCACACCTTTAGAAGTCTTCCTGAATGACTGGTTGAAATCCTGGCCGGGGATCCCTTTGCCCAGATTTGGCTCCTACACCATGTGCCCCCCTTTTTGAGGGAGAGCCCCAGCTCCCTTCACAACCTTGTGATTCCCCCCCCCCCCAGGTTAATTTACTACCCTGTGGTCTCCCTTGGACTCTCCTGAAAGATTGCACAGAAACTACATCTAGTACAAAAGGCAGCATCTTGTACAGGAGCTGGCATGAGACGGGGCAGCAACATAACTCCTATATTGGGGCAGGCAGGTGAGGGGTTTGCATGGCCTCTAATGGGGCCCCGAGTGCAATTCCAGGTGTTGCTTGGAACCTAAAAAGAGCTAAACCCCTAAACTCTGCTGAAGATGTTACCTAGCCTGGTAACGAAACATTTGGAAACCAACATAAGATGAGGGCGAAGGTTCGTTCTCCAAGCTTGTGGGTTGGTTTCTGAATGTTTTGTTACCAGGCTAGGTAACATCTTCAGCAGTGTTAGGGGATGTCACTGTTGATGTTCTTGGCAGCTCGACTGGAGCAATACAAAAATCGGCCACGCTACCACCCGCCACGCTCATGAGTCCATCGGAGCCTGGCAATTCCATCAACAGACACACCTACAACGAGCTTACAAACCCCTCAGAATCCAAATCAACCACACAACCAACCAGAGATCGCACTGACCCTTAACCAACGCATCCAAGCCCCCTCTCTCCCCACCAGTTCACCTCACAATGTCCCTGACCGGATGTAACCTCCCCATCACAAGCTTCCCACTGATGACCCACACCTGACCCATCACAAGACCCTCACTCAACAGCTTGGGGAACGAATCTTAGAGAGCCTGGGCCAAAATGGTTCCACAGGACCTCCCCTCCAATGGGCTCCGGCTGGCTTTTCTGTCCCGCTTACGTCAATGAAGACTCTCAATCATCCAGGCAAAGATGTCCAAAGATTGGATCCTGGCAACTGGACCAATATTTGTTAGCCTGTCATTTGGGGGGAGAAACCCTTGAAGCTGGTGTGGTACCTTCCAAAGACTGTAGGCCTAACCGAGTCGCTTTGACCGAGGAAGCTGCTCAGATGGCAGCGAAATGTCTCAAGTGAACAAATATCCGTCCAGTTGCCAGGATTCAACCTTTTCACACTTTGGCCTGGATGATTCAACCTTTAGTTTCTCCTGTTTATGAGTACAGGAGGGGAGAGGGGGGCGCGGGGCCCAGAAGTGAAGGCTTCCTCCAATCCTTTTGACAAAATCCCCCCAAAATCTTTCTTTTTTATTATTTTTAATTTTATTTTATTCAAATACAAATAATACAAACACATCACATATAAATCTAATTAAAAAACAGTATATCAAAAAATACAAACACTACAGTGCACCCATACCCCTGGAGCCCATTTTTATTACCTATATTTCTTCTCATATAACAACTAACAATATACGATATATTTCAATTGTGCCTTTATCCCCTCCAAAACAGCATGTATTCTTGAACAGGTTTATTCCCTTTGCCTTCCACCAAGACTGTTTTTATGAAATCCTCTCATATGTCATTATAATTATTTACTTTAATCATCCCTTTTTTCAAATTTAATTTCTGTCGTTAGTTTATCATTTATTGCCATATTCCATATTCCATTATACCACTCATTTTTTGAATATCCCAATATTTAACCATCACTAATCTAGCTGCCATTATCAAATTTACAATCAATTCCTTTTTTGCTCCCCCCCCATATCTTTCTTAACTTAAATTTTCGTTCCTCAGGAGACCGGTCCTCTGCACTTTCGTTTGTCCAATCTCTCCACAAACAATTGTTTTAAAAGGTCTTTTGCCCTATTTTTGTACCATACAAGCTCTGGAGTTCCCTGAGGAAAATTGGGAAATCTTTTGCCTGGTGTGCAAGCCCAACAACCATACCCGATAGGTTATGGAGTAAGACTTTTATTTCCAAAGAAGTTCCAAAATGGGTCACCCCTGCTCCAGAGTGGACCCCCCCTTTTTTTTACAGTTTTGAAAAGCACACATTGCCATGAACCGTTCATGAAAACACACCTCACAATATACCAATCACCAAGAGCCATTTCAAACATAGTGTACAACCTCAGGAGTCATCCCAAAGCCAACCTTTTCAGAAGGCAACTGGACTCTGTTTTTTTGGCAAAACACAGACCAGTTTCCTGTTGAAAAAGCACCTTTGGGACAACCATGACCTGGATAGCTGAGGACCTCCATAGACTTTGGTAGTCATAGCAACAGCTAAGGTTCAGCTAACAACTACAAGGTATGGGAGGCCTTGACCTGATCAATAATATTCCCACACTAAAAGCATCCCTAAGCCAGTTCAGTACCAGCATCTTGTCTACCACCTTAATGGACAGGCATTTTTTCCCCCCATACATTTCATTTTATTCAGAAAGTTACAAAAAAAAAAGTACAAAAGCGAAACTAAATGAGAAAAAATATTAAGAGAGAAAAAAATGTGCATTAGAAAAGACAAAAACCAACACACACACATATATATATTGTCCCACCTAGCTTATTTGTGCTAAATATATTAAAACAGTGATACTTTCCCCATATATACTGTCTGTGTATCCACACATATAGTATTAACTCGTAAACAAACAGCAAAGTTAAACTTCAAAACCCTCTGTTAATAATCTATTATTGTATTTAACTTGACAAAAGTCTACAATGGCTTCTGATCTACCACAGATCACGAGGACTCCCTGTACTTTAACAAAAGCAGAAATGGTACTGACCCCAACTTCATTTTCCTGTTTAAATAAAAACATTTTTAAAAAACACCCATTTATTTTTTTCAATAACTTCCCCAAACCAAAACTTATAAAGCTGGGAAGAAGAAAAAAAAAAACCTACGCATAGGCACAGGAGTTTATCCAGTGTTTGGACTGCCTGTACAGCCAAAGAAGTTTGGGAAAAAAAATATCAGATCATATCAGTTCACTGAGGCTCTACCAAACACTGCCCTATTTTTTTTTCATTTTTTTTTAAATTTGGTGTCACATTGAGGGACAAATAAAATCCACGCTCCAGACACTGGCATCTCATTGATTATGTCATTGTGCGGAGGAAAGACATGCAAGACATGTCATTGTGCGGAGGAAAGACATGCAACTAAGGCTATGCCGAGTGCTGACTGCTGGACTGACCATAGACTCATCATTTCCAAGCTAAATATTCACATCAAGCCAAAGAATCGTTCACAGGGAAACAGAGTTGTGATGAAAAAGATCAACGTCAGTACATTGGAAAACCCTGACATAGTAGCTTCATTAGTAAAAAATCTTGACAATCAATTCCTGGAGCTGCAAATACAGGAAATGCTGAGAAGGACTGGGAATGTTTCTGGGACATCTTGCGCTCTTCTGCACTTAAGGTTCTTGGACCCTCATATAGGAAGCAGCAGGACTGGTTTGATGAAAATGGTGAAGAGATTAAGGCCTTGCTTGCCGAAAAACACCATCTCTACCGTGCTCATCAGAATGACCCGTTATCAACTGCAAAGAAAAATGCTTTTATAAACACTCGCAGGATTGTACAGAGCAAGCTCCGCAAGATGCAGAACTCCTGGCTGAGTGCCAAAGCAGATGAAATCCAGAAGTTTGCTGATAGAAATGATGCCAAACGATTCTATGAAGCCCTTAGATCCCTGTATGGACCTCAGCCCTTAGAAAGCTCTCCTTTACTGGATTCGAGTGGTGCAACTCTTATCACTGAGAAGACCCTGATTTTACAGCGTTGGGCTGAGCATTTCCACTCTGTGCTGAATATTGGAAATGCAAAAGTAAAGAAGGGACCTTTTATCACTTATGGTGGACATGTGATAAAGCAAAGAAATATTGGAGTAGGATTCACATCTTAATACAGAAGATTCTCAAAGTAAATATAAAGATTAAAAACAGAAACTTTTCTTTTGAGTTTAATGGAAAAAAGACTTGAAAAAAATGGAACTTTGATATTATGTATGTTGTCCTGCCTTCAGGCGCCATGGAAAATGGCTTGACTCCCTCTTCTTTGGGGCAGCCCCTGAGATACTGGAAGACTGCTATCATGTCATCCCTAGTTCTTCTTTCGCTTGTTAACATTTAACATCACTAGAGATTTTTAAGAAGAGGCTGGACAGTCACTTGTCTGAGATGATATACAGTAGAGTCTCCTTCTTGAGCAGGGGGCTGGACTAGAAGTCCTCCAAAGTCCCTTCCAGATTCTATTCTATTCTATTCTATTCTATTCTATTCTATTCTATTCTATTCTATTCTATTCCATTCCATTCCATTCTTTTTTCTATTCTATTCTATTCTATTCTTTTTTCTATTCTATTCTTCTTTTTTCTATTGTATTCTATTCTTTTTTCTATTCTCTTCTATTCTTTTTTCTATTCTATTCTATTCTTCTTTTTCTATTCTATTTTATTCTTTTTCTATTCTACTCTATTCTATTCTTTTTTCTATTCTATTCTTCTTTTTCTATTCTCTTCTTTTCTCTTCTTTATTCTCTTCTCTTCTCTTCTCTTCTCTTCTCTTCTATTCTATTCTTATTCCTCCCATGTTCAGCCTCTTACACCAGGTGTCAGATCCGTAGATAGCAACTGTGCCATCCTTTAATTATTCTTCTCCTCTTGTGTTCTGTGTAATATTTTCTTTTCTTTGGGGATATAAAATAACATTTATCAAAATTATCACAGTCAACCCAGTGAGGCTGATAAGAATCTGGTTTTTCTTTGCCAGAAGAGCCCAAACACAGCAAGGAAGCAGGGTTAGGAGGCACAGTGCAGGACCATCACCGAATTCCCGGTTATATTTTACTTACCTGTATATGCCAGCGTATAAGGCGATTTCCGCAAGCGCTAAAATCGGCGCCAAAGACGGGGGTCGTCTTATGCGCCGAGTCGTCTTATACGCCAGAAATACTGGTAGTTTCCGGCGTATAAGACGACATTCTAGGAATGCGGCTTGGCAACAAAGACGGGGGTCGTCTTATACGCCGGGTCGCCTTGTACGCCGGCATATACAGTATCTATTTAGCATGTGTGTGCCGGAGAGGCTGTGCTGTGCTGGCTCTTCCCTGCAGAGCAGCTGATCAGAGGGTCCCAGGCAGGAGAGGCTGAATCCCAAGGAACCCCAGGCAGCCCATAATCTCTCCATGGCTACCTTGGAAAGACTTAGAGGGTGGATTCCATACTACAGCAAGCCTGATCATTTTGGCCCCGGGTATTTTCCAAGCTTGGAATGTTGTCTCTTAAATAGACTTCAGCAATAGTCACGCTCACCTGTTGGAGTATCACTCAATTTGAATATCATCTTGTGTACTTAGGGGAGAACGAACCATTTCTGGAGGAACTTGACCACAACAAGTTGTCTCTTCCTGATGGAGTTTTTTCCTGCGTTTCCAGCCTGTTAAATGGCAAAAAAAAACCAACAAAAAAACCCAACAACAACAAGAGAAGACAGCTAGTTTATTTCTGGGACAGCTGCTCCTGCCTGAGATGGACTTAAGGTGAAGACCCAACCCCACAAAGGGCCCATTATTGGTACAATAGCAATAACAATAGATTTATATACCCCTTGGTGCTTAAATTACATCTCTCTCTAAGCAGAGTCAACATCTTGCCCTTAAAAATCTGTGTCCTCATTTTACTGACCTCAGAAGGACGGAAGGCTGAGTCAACCTTGAGCTGATCAGGCAGTGGGCAGAGTGTTATGGTTCTGGCTAATGAAACACTTCAAAGAACTTCCAGGCATTGATTTTCCAAAAAGTCATTTATTGTTACAAAATGTCGGCACAGGCATAACGGAGGCTTTATGCTAAGATTTAAGTTCTCTTCCTCTGAGCAGTTAAATCAGTGGTTCTCAACCTTTTTAATGCCGCGACCCCCAACCGGTCGTAAGTCGAGGACTAAACCGGTTGTAAGTCGACGACTACCCAACTGGTCATAAGTTGAGGACTTTCCCTGCCCAGGAGCACTGCGCATGCGTGGTGCTGCCTCCTGCGCCGGCCGAGGTGTAGCTGGCAAGCGGCAGAGACGGAGCAGGCCGACCGCCAGCTGGGCCACTAGCTGGTCCAGCCCAAGGGAGGTAAGGCACCTGCCGGAAAAGGGGGAAAAAAATGGCGGACAGCCTTGCTTGGCGACCCCCCGTGAAATGGTTGATCGACCCCAAATGGGGTCACGACCCATAGGTTGAGAACTGCTGAATTAAATTATCAGCATGTTCCCTTCCTAAATTAGCTGTCATATATCACATTATCCAATTAGTGTGAAGGTCAAAGGTTTCCTTCCTCTTTCTTTCCCTGGGCTTTGCCCCCACCCCTCTTTCTGCTCTGTATTAACCCCCAAAATACCAGACAGTTCTGCATATTGTCAAAGCAAGAATATATAATATTTGCAGCGTTGACACAGAGTCAGCCTGCAATACTGCATTCTAACACTGCGCCACCACGGCTCCGGTGCAATTGCCTGAACTATAACCCGGCATCTTAAGAAAGAAATATGTTTACCTCCATCTATTTATTATTGACGAAGGGCAAAATTGGTGGCTGTCAAGCGCCGCTGATGAGGGGAAAATGAAATGGAACATTCCTGAGGCTTATTGAGGAATAATAATAATAGTAAAGTTGGAAGGGACCTTGGAGGTCATCTAGTCCAACCCCCTGCTCAGGCAGGAAACCCTATACCATTTTGGACAAATGGCTGTCCAGTCTCTTCTTCAAAACCTCCAGTGTTGGAGCATTCACCGCTTCTGGAGGCAGGTTGTTCCACTGGTTAATTGTTCTGTCAGGAAGTTTCTCCGTAGTTCTAGGTTGCTTCTCTCTTTGATTAGTTTCCACCCGTTGCTTCTTGTCCTGCCTTCAGGAAAATAGCTTGACTCCCTCTTCTTTGGGGCACCCCCTGAGATATTGGAACACTGCTATCATGTCCCCCCTCGTCCTTCTCTTCATTAAACTAGACATATCCAATTCCAACAGCCGTTCCTTATATGTTTTAGCCTCCAGTCCCCTAATCATCTTTGTTGCTCTTCTCTGTACTCTGTACTAATCAAGTCAAAACTGCATTAGAGCTTCTATACAATATGAGAGTGCTGTTTTTCCACTACCAACGTAGCCATTCAAATCTGGTCAAGCAGGGCTGTTCCCGATAATACTAAATAGTACTTAACTTGTACTAAATCATCAAGCAACAATGTGGAAGGACTTTGCCATTTGTTTCTTCTTTTTCGTGTCTCGCTTGCTTGCCAGTCATGGGTTGAAGTTGTGAGAGTCTTTCCTGTTTGGTTTTATTTCTACCCCAAAGCCCGATTCCAACCTAACCACATCTAAGAAGAAGCAATCATGGTTGATTCTGAAAAGATAAGCATGTCTGACTAGCTTGGACATTTGCACCCAAGACTGGCAGGCAAGGAAGAAAAATCACAAGCAGGTCAAACAGCCCATCCTCGAAGAAGGAAGTGGCAAATCAGTTCCTCATGGATGTGAATGGACAAGGAGCAACGGATGGAAACTAATCAAGGAGAGAAGCAACCTAGAACTAAGGAGAAACTTCCTGACAGTGAGAGAACAATTAACCAGCGGAACGATTTGCCTCCAGAAATTGAGGTTTTTAAAAAGAGATCGGACAATGATTTGTCTGAAATAGTATAGGGTTTCCTGCTTGAGCGGGAGGCTGGACTAGAAGACCTCCAAGGTCCCTTCCAATTCTATTATTCTGGCACTCATGGTATAGGCTCTCCTACTTGAGGATGGACTAGAAGACCTCCAACGTCCCTTCCAGTTCTACTATTGTTTTTGTTTTGTGTTGCCCTGCACTTGGTGAAGCTCAACTGAGAAGACACTTCCCTCATCCACCATTCCTCTCATGTCTCTTGCTCTGAGTAGGAGCAGAGGAAGCAGCCGCTCCTTTTACCGCTGGACCTTCCTTCCTGTTGTTGTCTATCCCCGAGTGTGATTGCAAGAAGGAGCAGAAGTTACAAGGGCCCTCCCTCCATTTCCCCCATCCTTTCCCCAGAACTTCCCTTCTTCAAAGGCAGGATTATGAGTTTTCTAGCACTTCCCAGATCATTTATGGGGCTCTTTCTTTGATTCCCGAGTTCCTGATATTTGCTTCTCTGAAGTACACCTATTAAGGCAGTGGTTCTCAACCTGTGGGTCGGGACGCCATTTGGGGTCGAACGACCATTTCACGGGGGTCACCAAACAACGCAGTCCACCATTTCCCCCCCCTTTTCCTTAGCTGTGCTACTCCCTTTTATTCTATTGGCTTTTGAAAGCCAATAGAATAGACTCTCTTGAATAGAGTCTAATTCTATTGGCTTTCAAAAGCCAATAGGAATTGCCCAGGCTGTCTCTGCCCTGCTGAGCCCGCCAAAAGTCTCATTCTGCAAACGGTGCTGCACCAGTTGAGTAGTCTTCGACTTACAACCGGTTGGGTAGTCCTTGACTTATGACCGGTTGGGGGTCGCGGCATTAAAAAGGTGGAGAACCACTGTATTAAGGCTAAAGAGACTTCCTCACAGAGTAGCGGAAGGTGGAACATTCTGAGATTTACAGGAAATGGGAAAAAAAAATAGCTGCCTAGTTTCTTCTCCCTTTCTGATTCCTGTTCAAAACACTATGTGTGGGGAAGGGTCTCGGAGGGATCCTGGCTGCAAATCTCAGAGAGACTCTCTCCCATTCACACCAGCAGTCAACACAGAAAAAGACATTGGCTGAGGTCAGCGGATGTGTTGTTTCACTTACAGATCAGGAAGAGAAGAATCCCAGCTGCCAAGATTGTGCAAGCCCCAATTGCGTTAACAATCCACCATATTCTAGCTAAAGAAGGAGAAAACATGGTTCCGATTAGACAGATGCTGAGTTCCCTGAAGCGGAGACGCTGAGCCAGTGGTGGCAAACCTATGGCACGCGTGCCAGAGGCGGCACTCAGTGCCCTCTCGGTGGGCACTCGGGCCATGCCTCGGAGATGGCAACTGTCCCTCTTCAACCAGCTGCCTGCTAACTCGCCGAGGTCCCACGTGGCCGGATGCATCCCAGCACGGCTGGTTTCCTTCCCCCCGTCCCATCCCTCCTGGCCTCACATGCTCTCCTTTTCCTAGGCATGACCTACTGCATTGCCTCCTCAGCTGTCGGCCAGCCATCCAGCTCAGAGATGGCTTCTTTGAACTGCTGGTGGAGGACTGCAGCTCGCTGGCCTCTGTGTGTGGGGGCCGATGGTGTCAGGCAGCAGCCGCCCCAGCCTTTGCCTTGCCCCATGGCAATGGCACCCCTGCCCTGCCTCACCTCACCCCTCAGGACGAGCCTCCTGCCTACCGCCCCATGTGCCAGAGACCCCCTAGATCTCCCCCAACCCTGCCCACCCCCCACAGGCGTTCCATGCCACGAGCAACATCGAGGTGACCACGCCCACCTTGGCCACACCCATCCAATCTGCCATGACCCCCACAGCCACGCCCACCAAGTGGGCCACGCCCACCTGGCAATAAATACGTGGCGTTTAGGTTGCAGTTTGGGCACTCGGTCTCTAAAAGGTTCGCCCTCACTGCGCTGAGCAATGGAAGTCATTCCCAGTCTGAACCGGCCACCAGGAAGTGCCCCCACCCGAAGAAAGCCCTCCTCCCCTCCAACGCTGCAGAGGGGGTAGCGAATGGCCTTGAAGGGCAGAAAGAAAAGCCACCGCCCCTCGTGCATCATTATCACATCATCTCGTAGCACGTGTCATGTCTTCCTACTTTCGCTGTTAAGTTACCACTTCCGACTCCTCTTAAAGAAATCGCTTCTCTCCTATCGCTGAATGTAGGATTGTATTCCCTGTTCTCTAACTGCAAATACGAGATGGTGCAGAGAAAACTAACTCCTCTCCTACCATTTCAAACACTGGTGGGGGAAAAAAAAATCTACTTCTACATGCCGCAATGCTCTCAGCCTCTCACCTGTTTCCTCCTTCCAGGCCAAGATCAGGGGCTCCTGCAAGCCCTGGTGCTCCAGGCGACAACGAAAATGGTCCCTCTCCTTGGGGTCAATCTCAATGCTGAGCCAGACATAATAGGTGCCATCCGAGTTGGGGGCAACGTTCCTAGGGAGGGTCTCGTACACGCAGGCCTCTCCGTCCCTGGTCCAGGTGGCCTGGATCTGCTTGGGGTAGAAGCCAAAGGCCTGGCAGATGAGGACCTCCAGATGGTCATCCACCTCCTTGCAAGTCACCTTGCCCACTGGGGGCTCTGCAGAAACAGCAACACCAGAGTAACGGGGATTTCTAGAATTTCCATCAATGTGAGTTAATAACACAGAAGGACTTCTCTTTGGTCATCCTCTCCCACTGCTCCCTCTTCTCTGAACCTGTGGAAGCTCTTTAGATTCATTTTTGAGAGGGGTACATAGAATGTCAATCACTGGAGATTTTTAACAAGAGGATAGACCTGGCTGGCTCAGGAATTCTGGGAGTTGAAGTCCACGAGTCATAAAGCGGCCTAGGCTAGGCCTAGGCCAGAGGTAGGCAACCTTGGCTCTTTTATGACTCATGGACTTCAATTCCCAGAATTCCTGAGCCAGCCATGCTAAGGGGAAAGGGAGAGGTTTCCAAGCTGAGCCATGCTGGCTCAGGAATTCTGGGAGTTGAAGTCCACGAGTCATAAGAGAGCTGAGGTTGCCTACCCCTGGTCTATCCTCTTCTTAAAAATCTTGTCTGAGATGGTATACGTTCTCCTGTTTAAGTGGGGGGGGGATGGACTAGAAGACCTCTCAGGTCCCTTCCAGCTCTATTCTATTCCTCTGCAATTTGGGGTAAGTCTCTCAAATGGTAGCAGTGTTCCAATATCTCAAGGGCTGCCACAAAGAAGAGGGAGTCAAGCTATTCTCCAAAGCACCTGAAGGCAGGACAAGAAGCAACGGATGGAAACTAGTCAAGGAGAGAAGCAACGTAGAACTGAGGAGAAACTTCCTGACAATAAAACAATTAACCAGTGGAACAACCTGCCTCCAGAAGCGGTGAATGCTCCAACACTGGAAGTTTTTAAGAAGAGACTGGATAGCTGTCAGAATCCAATTATATTTCATCTTTAAATTATCAAATATAGAAACTTCCAATTCTGCCTTCTCTGGATTCTGCCATAAGAGGGAGAGAAGGGGGAGAACAAAGGGGTTTTATGGCCCTCACTTCCTTCTTTACACTTCAAAGAGCGGAATGCTGAATGTGTGTTTATTGTAACCTCGAAGCGTTGGCATACCAAAGGAGGGTAGTTGCCTTTCATGTAGTTATCTGAAGTCTCCATCCAGACGGAAGAAAGAAGAAAGGGGGCGGAATTGTGATACTTGAAACTATCACTGGAAGGGGGGTTGATTGGGTGGGACTACTGGGGAACCCCTTAAAACCTTGAATGGAAGAGCTTGAACCCCAAGTCCTGTCTAGCATGCCTGCAACCATTTTCTCTTAATAAAGGATTCCTGTTGGAAGAATTATTCCAAGAGTTCTGTCTTCTTAAGATGCAAAGTGGGGTGGGTCCTTACATTAGACAGGACTTGCAAAATTAATCCACCTGGAAGGGAGACCCTTGCCGGGGGATTTTGCAAAAAATTTACCATGTCAGACAATGGAGAAAGAGAGGGGGAAAACTCCCTGGAAAGAGAGCCGCTGACCCAGTTGGAACCTTGCCAGATGTTGGGATCTGAGAGGTCAGATTCCTCGGGAGAAGAAGTGGTGGAGACACAGGACCACAAGCCTCGCTGGTCGATGAACGTTGGAAAGAAAAGTGAGTGGAGAAAGGAATCAAGAAAGGTGACCCTGAGACGGGGGACCAAGCAACCAGAATGGAAGCAGGAGATGGAGAAATCCCTGCACGCAAGTGAAGAGGGAGGAAGCTGGGTACCGTACTCAGACTGGATCCTAGAGAAAGCTATTGACCTGATGAAGAGAACTCTCAGCTCCCTAGGAGAGGAGAATACTGAGCCCTACGGCCGCCCCAGTTCCTGGAGCCACAAAGGGAGAGACACCGAGGGGGACGTGGAACCTGCAACCCCAGGGACATCTACTGATCCAGGAGCCCCCACCCCCTACCGGACCACAGATGGCAATCTGGACAGAAGACACTACCACCAACAACGGAGGCACCGATCCATTCCAAGACGTCCACCGTTGGAGGTGAAATTCAAAGGGGAGCCAACACGCTTGGGGTTTTTCCTAACCCAAGTACTCAGCTACATGGAGGAATATGGGCAGGACATTCCCAGCGACAAAGCCCGCATCCGGATCGTGCAATCTGCCCTGGATGGACCAGCTGCGGATTGGGTAGTGAACTTGCATGACTCCAATGCCCCAGAACTCAGTAACTTCAACCGTTTCATGTCCTCTTTGAGAAGACGATTTGAAGACCCCCTGGCTGATCGCAAAGCCCGTGAAAGAATAACAACGATGAGGCAAGGCAAACGCCCAGTGGCCGAGTATACACAAGAATTCCGGGCCATTGCCAGCAAACTGAATTGGCCAGAAGACATCCTCCTTGGCCATTTCAAAGACGGACTAAACTATGATCTATATGATGCTTGCCTGCCCCGAGGGGACCCACATCGACTTGAGGAATGGTACGTCTTGGCAGAGGAAGCAGAGATCGACATATTGAAGAGGCACCGCCGAAGAAAACAATGGAGCCGCCCCCCGCCTGAGCTGACACACCAACCGGTGAAATCATCGGATACAGCCAAGAAGCAAATGGGGTGTTTCAAGTGCAGAAGAGAAGGGCATCGAGCTGTAGAATGCCGCTCAAAGGCCCCCCAGCACAACCCAGACAGATCCCCAATCAACAAACCCAGAGGGTATTCAGCTAAGCCAAAAGAAACAGCCATGAAAATGATGGAAATTGCAGAAAACCCCACCTCTGCTCACCAAGGGGAAAGAACTCCAGCCTACACCACAGGGACGGTGGATGCCTCAGATGACAGCTCGGAGGGCGAACCCCTGGTAAGTGGACGCATCACACCCATCTTCAAAACAGTGACTATATTAATCCCCCCCATGCCCGAAGCTGTGAAGGTGAAAGCCTTAATAGACTCTGGCTGCACCCGCTGCCTCATTAGCCCAACGCTAGTGGGGAATCTGGGCATCCCATCCAGGAGACTGGAACAACCAATCTCATTTGGCCAGCTAGATGGATCCATAGCAGGGGGGGTGCCAGCTACCCTAGCCACTCTGCCAATACACCTCTCCCTGGGCAACCATGAAGAGGACTTAACGTTTGTGGTGACCCCAGGTATGGAATGCCCAATGATTCTAGGGATGGAATGGTTGAAAAAATGGAACCCCTGGGTAAATTGGAGGACGACAGAAATCAAATTCCCGAAGGGGGACCCTATGGACTTAAAACCCCAAGGGAGGCTACCAGAATCAAGAATAGAAAAAGCATCCATAGGAGAGGAAAAAAGATTAACAGAAATACCAGAGGAATATAGGGACCTTGCTGAAGTCTTCAGTGAGGAGAGGGCGAATGAGCTTCCCCCCCACCGACCCACAGACTGTACCATTGAATTCAAGCCTGGGGCAAAACTCCCGAAGCCCAGATTATACTCCATGAGCCCAAAGGAGAAGGAGGAAATGGAAAGATTTATAAAAAAAAACCTGGAGAGAGGTTTCATTGAGCCAGCCAAGCCTAAAGTGGCTGCCCCGGTCCTTTTTAGAGAGAAGAAGGATGGCTCTTTACGTTTATGCGTGGATTATAGGGCCCTGAATACAATCAGTGAAAGCAACCTATACCCGCTGCCCCTCATGAAAGACATGCTGTCACACCTATCGAAAGGGAAAATTTTTTCTAAACTAGACTTAAGGGAAGCTTACTATCGCGTGAGAATCAAGGAAGGGGACGAATGGAAGACTGCATTTAACTGCCCCATGGGGTGCTATCAATTCAAAGTCTTGCCATTTGGATTACAAGGGGGCCCTGCAGTCTTTATGCAATTAATCAATGACGTTCTAAGGGAGCACCTATTTAAGGGGGTCCTTGTTTACTTGGACGACATTCTTATCTTTACTGAAACAAAAGAAGAACACGTCAAACTTGTCAGAGCGGTTTTAAAGAAGCTGCGAGCCGCTCACCTATATGCCAAACTCTCAAAATGCGAATTCCACCAGGAAAGGATAGACTACCTAGGCTATCGCATATCCCCACAGGGCATTGAAATGGACCCGGAGAAGGTCAAAGCAGTACTAAATTGGGCACCACCCCGCACAAGAAAGCAACTACAAAGTTTCCTGGGCTTTGCAAATTTTTACCGCCAATTCATCCCCTCATTTGCACAGATAGCCTTGCCCCTCACTAACTTACTAAAAACGAAGGGAACATCCTCAGTAAAACCTAGCCAGCCACTAACATGGACAATGGAGTGCCAAGCAGCATTTGAGAGACTAAAGAGACTTTTTTCTGCCGAACCAGTACTAAGGCACCCAGACATGGACAAGCCCTTCATAATACAGGCAGATGCAAATGATGTGGCAGTGGGGGCTGTGCTATTACAAGAAAATGATGATGCAGTATTGCAACCCTGTGCATATACATCCAAGAAACTCACGGAAACAGAACAGCGCTGGCCCGTATGGGAGAAGGAGGCTTATGGGATACGTTGGGCATTACTCACGTGGCGACAGTTCCTGGAAGGCAACAAAATCCCCTTCCAGGTGTGGACTGATCACAAAAATTTAGAAGCCCTGAAAACTTCCAGGAATCTCAATCCCAAACAAGTCCGCTGGTCCCAGCATTTTCACCAATTCCAACTTAAGCTCAAACATTTACCAGGAAGAAAGAACTTCCTGGCAGATGCACTATCTCGCATGCCCCAATATAACAGCGCACGAACCACAGACTCTAGACCAATAATGGCAGAGTCACAACTGGCAGCGCCAGTAACCACAAGAACCCAAGCCAAAATAAAACCACAACTGGACAGCCAAACTGGGATTGAATTCAGAAAAAGTTTGGAAACAGATGATTGGTTCCAGAAAAACAAACATGTGTGCACAATGAGAGACGGATTGCCTTGGGTAGGGGAAAAGTTATATATACCAACAACTCAAAGACTAACTTTCATGCAACTTTGCCATGACACAAAATCAGCAGGGCATTTTGGATTTGTAAAAACTTTACACTTAATTAAACGGCAATTTTGGTGGCCATCAATAAAAAAGGACATAGAAAGTTATGTTGCCAGCTGCCCAACCTGTGCATCAGCAAAGAGGTTGCAAGGGAAATCGCCAGGGCTATTACAACCAGTGGCAAGTCCCTCAGCCCCCTGGAGGGAAATAGCCATGGATTTTATAGTGGAATTGCCAGAAAGCAATGGGAATACTGTTATCTGGACAGTCACGGACCTATTTTCCAAACAGGTGCACTTTATCCCTTGCCAAAAAATTCCCACTGCAAAGGCCTTAGCAAAACTTTTCATCCAGCACATTTACAGATTGCACGGGGCACCCCAACGCATCATCTCTGATAGGGGAGTGCAATTTACGTCTGCATTTTGGAAGGAATTTTTATCCCTCTTAGGGACCACTCAGGGATTGACATCTAGCCACCACCCTCAAGGAGATGGACAAGCGGAACGCTGCCAGTCGGTACTTGAGCAATATTTGAGATGTTTTTTAAATTTCCAACAGAGTGATTGGACGGACTTACTTCCTTTTGCAGAAGTTGCCTACAATAATGCAGTCCACTCCAGCACAGGCTACACTCCTTTTCAAATAGCCAACGGTCAAAGTTTCAACCCTATGCCAGAGTTAACCCCAAAAGAACCAACGATCCCTTCACTGAAAGAATGGATGGAAAACCTACAAAACACCTGGCCAATAGTCAGAAAATCACTAGATGAAGCTAGGCGGGCATACAAAGCACAAGCCGATAAAAAAAGGGTTGAGCCTACACCATTCATTATAGGAGAAATGGTGTACTTATCTACAAAATACCTAAAGTCCCTACAGCCCTGTAAAAAACTTGGACCAAAATATATAGGACCTTTTCCAATTAAAAGAATCATAAATCCAGTAACAGTAGAATTAGAATTACCCAAAAACCTCAGGCAAATACACCCAATTTTTCATTGCAGCTTGCTGAAAAGAGAGCATCAGTCACATCTACGGCCAAAAATCCCCCCACCACCACCTCCACTCATGGTGGAGGGTGAACAACACTTCGAAATAAAGGAAATCCTTGATTCTAGGAGATATCATGGGGCAACTCAGTACCTAGTTGCCTGGAAACACCTACCTCCCTCACAAAATGAGTGGGTCCATAAACGTCATGTCAGAGCCCCGAAGCTATTGAAGAAGTTTCACACAGAGTATCCTAACAAGCCTGACTAAATTTTATACTTGTGTTTTCTTTCAGGTGGATCTCTCTTATTGTTAAGAGGGGCCGGATGTCAGAATCCAATTATATTTCATCTTTAAATTATCAAATATAGAAACTCCCAATTCTGCCTTCTCTGGATTCTGCCATAAGAGGGAGAGAAGGGGGAGAACAAAGGGGCTTTATGGCCCTCACTTCCTTCTTTACACTTCAAAGAGCGGAATGCTGAATGTGTGTTTATTGTAACCTCGAAGCGTTAGCATACCAAAGGAGGGTAGTTGCCTTTCATGTAGTTATCTGAAGTCCCCATCCAGACGGAAGAAAGAAGAAAGGGGGTGGAATTGTGATACTTGAAACTATCACTGGAAGGGGGGTTGATTGGGTGGGACTACTGGGGAACCCCTTAAAACCTTGAATGGAAGAGCTTGAACCCCAAGTCCTGTCTAGCATGCCTGCAACCATTTTCTCTTAATAAAGGATTCCTGTTGGAAGAATTATTCCAAGAGTTCTGTCTTCTTAAGATGCAAAGTGGGGTGGGTCCCTACACCATTTGTCCAAAATGGTGTAGGGTTTCCTGCCTGAGCAAGGGGTTGGACTCGATGACCTCCAAGGTCCCTTCCAACTTATTATTACTACTACTACTACTACTACTACTACTACTACTACTACTACTACTACTACTACTATTATATTGACCAACATACTTGCAATGCTTGGGGTCTGATTTAATTTTACAGTCTTCCCCCAACTGAATTTGTTCAAGCTGTTCCGGACAGAAATCAGGAATAGGCTATATATATATATATTTTTTCCCCCTTCTGACCCAGACACGGGACATTCCTTCCTTCTTTGCAAGATTTTTCTCAGGGAAATAGAACAAGACATTCAGCATTAATTTCTTGCTCAGTTACTTTATCTTTGAAGTCCTTATTTTTTTGGGGGGGGGCATTGAAGATTATTTTCCTTCTGTAATGTGATGTGGGATGCCGCCTGACTCATTTTCTGCAAAGGGTGGCTTGGCTATGTACTGTAGGACAGAAATAATATGGAGACGGGGGAGTGTACAGAAATATGTTCAATGCAGACCCCCTTCTGCCACTCACCGATCTTCTGAGAAGCCTCCTTCTTGGACAACTGGTACCTCTGCAGCCACTCAATGCAGGTCTCCTCCAGGTAGGTTTTTTTCCTCTGGGACCATCCTGGATGAATCTCCCACTCCTCCTTGACCTTCTCGGCCTGGGGCTGAGCTGCCACCCATCTGAGCGTCTCCTTGTCGAAGCTGATGAAATCCCTCCCGTCGTAGCCATAGTGCAAAAACCCTCCTTTGCTCCCGTCTTCCCAGAGCTCACAGCCCAAAATTGCCTGCCAGGTGTGAGGCCCTGAAAGAGACCCAGAGGGGGGTGGGAATAGTTCAGAATTCCTCTCCCCTGGACGCCCCACGCTTGATTCAAATGTTTACTTCCATCCCATCAGCTGAAGCTGAAGCTCAACCACTTTGCCCACCAGATGGGAAGAGACGACTCATTGGACCCTGGCATTGGGGAAGATGGAAGACAAAAGGAGAAGGGGACAGCAGGTGGTGAGATGGTTATATAGTGTCATTGATGCAGTGAGCATGAATTTGGGCAAACTCCAGGAGACAGTGGAGGATTGGAGGGGGGGGGGGCTCGCATGCCGTGGTCCATGGAGTCACAAAGAGTTGGACACGATTTAGCGATCAAACAACATCCCACCAGGAAATTAAGCAACATCCCACCAAAGAAATTGGATCTTTCCTCCCCTTTTTCTTTCAATGGGGTGGGGAATCTCTTTTGTGATCAGGGGCTGTACTTGGTCTTCTGGGGATGGTACAAGTCCATGAAATCCATGAAAGATATCTTGAAGGCGTAGGAGGTGCTTTTTTTTTCTTTTACAGGAAAGGATCTCTCACCATTATGCCCTTTGCAACTGTTGGTACCATGTTTTCCCGAAAATAAGACTGGGTCCTATATTAATTTTTGCTCCACAAGACTCATTAGAGCAGTGGTTCTCAACCTGTGGGTCAGGACCCCATTTGGGGTCGAACAACCATTTCACGGGGGTCACCAAACAACGCAGTCCGCCATTTCTTTCCCCCCTTTCCTTAGCTGTGCTACTCCCTTTTATTCTATTGGCTTTTGAAAGCCAATAGAATAGACTCTCTTGAATAGAGTCTAATTCTATTGGCTTTCAAAAGCCAATAGGAATTGTCCAGACTGTCTCTGCCCTGCTGAGCCCGCCAAAAGTCCCAGTCTGCAAACGGTGCTGCACCGGTTGAGTAGTCCTTGACTTACGACTGGTTGAGTAGTCCTCGACTTATGACCGGTTAGGGGTCGCGGCATTAAAAAGGTTGAGAACCACTGCATTAGGGCTTATTTTCCGATTAGGTCTTATTTTCATAGAAATACAATACTATGCTTCCATCTTCCATGAGCTCCCAGCCCAAAGCCCCCTGCCAGGTGTGAAGCTCTGAAAGAGACCCAGAGGGGATGGATGTGGGTGAATAGGGTCTAGGATTCCTCCTGCCTCAAGAAGGTGTGAATGCTCCAACACTGGAGGTTTTTAAGACGAGACTGAACAACCATTTGTCTGAAATGGTATAGGGGTTGGACTAGACCAGTGGTTCTTAACCTGGGCGATATTGCCCCCCAGGGGGCGATTTCATTCTTCAGGGGGGGCCATGGAACGAAAAGGGGGCGATATGGGGGTGATGGAGCAAGATGTTTTGGGGACACTTTTGAGACTTTTTCATACAGTGAAACGCTGTATATCTGTCGTACAAAAACATCAGATTGCTCGCTGTTAGTGGATTGAATTGTGTTTTCAAGTGTTCCTCCAGCTAGCTTCAGTACAGAACGCCGTACATATGTGAATACGCATTGCTTATCTTCATACGCGTTGCGCAGCAGCCTCTGCCCTTTTTATATTTCTTTTTGCGTCTTAAATTTTACTTGTAATTCAATCATTAAATATTACTGTTTTTCTTTTCGGGCATTTCACTTTCTTGCAATTGAATTTTGTTTTCAAAGCGGTCATTACATTTAAGTGTCTTGAATAAATAAGATAATAATGAAATATATGTATCACAAAGTTTGGGAATAAAGTGATGGGTGGCACCAAAATGTTTCACACAGTTGAGATATGGGAAAAAGATTGGAAATAAATTACTTGCATCAATATGTCCAGATGACAATTTTAAAGAAAACAAAACAAGTGTTTGCATAAATTGAAGAATTATTTCCTATGTTGTAATTGAGAGGTTATGTTGGGGGAGGGGGGCGATGACAACTTCCTCATTGGCTCAAGGGGGCGATTCATTCAAAAAGGTTAAGAACCACTGGACTAGACGACTTCCAAGGTCCCTTTCAACATCGGGCTGTGTAGAATGTCTAGCGGAGGGAGAAAACTGGGGATCAGGGGGTAGAGAGTCTTTCCTTTTGCAGGAAAGAAAAGCTCACCGTTACGCCACTTTTGGCACTGGAGGCCAAAAGTGAAACTGCTTCTGCTCACCTCCAGTCTGGTGGTCCAGTTTGGATAACTTCTCCAAGTCGATTCCAATCACCCACTCAAGGACCTGGAATGACGTGTCCTCTTCCTCCACCCAGGGCACCAGAGGCTCCATCTTCCTGATGAGGCTATCATAGCGAGCCATGGGCTGGTCATCCAGGTAGCCCCTAATGGAGAAATGGGGCAGCCCCTGGCTGGGCTCTGGCAGATGCAGGTAGGAATAACACAGGGAGTTTGCAGGAGAACCTGGAGGGGGAGGAAGGAGAAGGGAGAATTAGGGTGGGTCTGCACTGCGGCTGGGAGAAATATCAACAACCTAAGATATGCAGATGATACCACTCTAATGGCAGAAAGTGAAGAGCCTCCTGATGCGGGTGAAGAAGGAGAGTGCAAAAGTTGGCTTGAAACTCAACATTAAGAAAACCAAAATCATGGCATCCGGCCCTCTCAATTCCTGGCAAATAGATGGGGAAGAAATGGAGGTAGTGACAGATTTTATTTTTCTGGGCTCCAAGATCACCTCAGATGGGGACTGCAGCCAAGAAATTAAAAGACGCTTGCTCCTGGGGAGGAAAGCTATGGCAAATCTAGACAGCATACTAAAAAGCAGAGACATCACCCTGCCAACAAAAGTGCGTATAGTCCAGGCCATGGTTTTCCCAGTTGCAATGTATGGCTGTGAAAGTTGGACCATAAGAAAGGCTGAGCGCCAAAGAATTGAGGCCTTTGAACTCTGGTGCTGGAGAAGACTCCTGCGAGTCCCTTGGACTGCAAGGCGTTCAAACCGGTCAGTCCTAGAAGAGATCAACCCCGACTGCTCTTTAGAAGGCCAGATCCTGAAGTTGAAACTCAAATACTTTGGCCACCTAATGAGAAGGAAGGACTCACTGGAGAAGGGCCTAATGCTGGGAAAGATTGAGGGCAATAGAAGAAGGGGACGACAGAGAATGAGATGGCTGGATGGAGTCACTGAAGCAGTAGGTGTGAACTTAAATGGACTCCAGAAGATGGTAGAGGACAGGAAGACCTGGAGGAACATTGTCCATGGGGTCGCGATGGGTCGGACACGACTTCGCAATTAACAACAAAACTGCGGCTCCATCCTCTTCAATATACAGCACCCTCCCCCCAAGAAGTGGGTCACCCTCTTTTGTCTCTGCTTGGGAAAGTTCATGCCTGTAAACCCGAGGAGCGAGCCCCTAGTTCAGTGGTTCTCAACCTTTTTAATGCCGTGACCCCCAACCGGTCGTAAGTCGAGGACTACTCAACCAGTTGTAAGTCGAGGACTACTCAACTGGTGCAGCACCGTTTGCAGAATGGGACTTTTGGTGGGCTCAGCAGGGCAGAGACAGCCTGGACAATTCCTATTGGCTTTTGAAGCCAATAGAATTAGACTCTATTCAAGAGAGTCTATTCTATTGGCTTTTGAAAGCCAATAGAATAAAAGGGAGTAGCACAGCTAAGGAAAAGGGGGAAAAAATGGCGGACTGCGTTGTTTGGTGACCCCCGTGAAATGGTCGTTTGACCCCAAATGGGGTCCCGACCCACAGGTTGAGGACCACTGTTTTAGTTGTAAGTACCCACCTCAATCCCTCTTCCCAAGAAATCAGAACTCCTGGAACAGCATCATTCCAAAAGGAACTTTTATCGGGAGAAGCTGGCAGTAGGCATAGAAGGCAGGAACTAAGGCCGTGGTAGCAAGCCTATGGCACGTGTGCCACAGGTGGCACGCAGAACCCTCTCTGTGGGCACGCGCACCGTCGCCCCACTCCTAGGCCTTCAGCTGGTTTTATAAAACCTTTTCGCTTTAGGCCTCCAATGCCATGTGCAAAAAAAAAAAGGTTCAATCAATCAATCAATTTCAACTTCTCACAGGAAAAAATTGATCTTGCAATTGATTGATTGAACTTTTTAGCCCCACCCAGTCAGCCGTTATCACTGAAGCCATGCCCACCCAATGGGCCACGCCCACCCGACACTATATAAATGGGTTTTGGGTTGCAGTTTGGGCACTTGGTCTCTAAAAGGTTTGCCATCACTGCACGAAGGTCTTCCTTCAAAACAATAGTTTAAAAGAGTCATTCACACACACCCCCCAACCGTCCGTTAGGATGGTTTAAGACAGCGGTTCTCAACCTGTGGGTCGGGACCCCATTTGGGGTCGAATGACCATTTCACGGGGGTCACCAAACAACGCAGTCCGCCATTTTTCCCCCCTTTTCCTTAGCTGTGCTACTCCCTTTTATTCTATTGGCTTTCAAAAGCCAATAGGAATTGTCCAGGCTGTCTCTGCCCTGCTGAGCCCACCAAAAGTCCCATTCTGAAAACGGTGCTGCACCAGTTGAGTAGTCCTTGACTTACAACTGGTTGAGTAGTCCTCGACTTACGACCAGTTGGGGGTTGCGGCATTAAAAAGATTGAGAAACACTGGTTTAAGATAACTTTTATTGTCATTTTTATACTGTGGGCACAATGGCACACATCAAAAATGAAATTTAGTTGCCCGCTCTCAAAGTGAAACACATACATGACACACACCTAAACATACTATGAACAACATGTGTATAGACCCACAACCCTACAGATACGTAGCGATAAATATTAAATATTGTCCATCTTGAATATATAACAGAAGGAGGAAACTTGAGAGTTCGCAAGGTTAATGCTGTACAGAATGAAACTCTGGCTGAATCTGGATGTTCTGCTTCAGATACCACCAAGCCCCCCTCCTTCCAGAAGGTAACAAGGAAAACAGGTCGTGAAGAGGATGTGTAGTATTCCAGATAATCTTACTGACCCTGATCAACCCACAAGTGTGAAGTGGTGGTGGGAAGGGGGACGATAAGGCTCAGCTTTCAGGGCTGTTTTTTCATGCCTCGACTTTCCCACCCAGAGGAACAGCTGGCCAGGTCCACATCTGGTTAAGACGGTCCCGCAGCTGCTCTGCGCCCTTGGGTGTCCCAGCCAGCTTCTTGTGGACCTGAAGCCCACCCCTCTCTCCGCCTTGCCAACTGAGAAGAGAGTCAGGAAGACCCTATTTGCTCGGAGGTTAACAAAGTCAGTTGGAGCCCCGACTGCTCCCCAGTCAGGCCGCCTTCCGCAGCGAGGAAGCGCGGAAATTCGGAAGTTCTGTTTTTACTTTCACTTTCACTTTCCCCAGAAATACAAAGGGGATTCCAAACCAAGGCGGAGCTGGAGATACGATCGCTCCCCAGAGAGAGCGAGGTTTGCTGATCAGGATGGGGCTGAATGGCAGGAACCCAGGTCCGTTTCTCGGACAGGAGGGGAGGGCAGTCTTGAAACGGAAAGCTTCTGTTTTGATTTTCACTTTTTGGCACGCCCAGAAATAACAAACGGGAACGGATTCCAAATCAAGCGCTAAAGTGCTAAAACCAGGCTCGGGGAAGAGCTACAGAAGGAAAAGGTTTTCTTTTGGGGGGAAAAGAGCGCAGGACGGGAGTGGGGGGGGGAATGGGGGAGAGAAAGACCCAGCCCAGGGCTCCCCCTCCCCTCCCTTTTTGCTTCCCTCCCCACCTTCCCCAGCTCGCAAAACCTTCCAGAAACTCACCGCAAAAGCGCCCCCGCCCGAAGGACACCAGTACGACCCCCAAGAGCAAGAGGGGCGGCCGGGGCAGCGGCATCGGCCCCCCCCCACCAACCCCGCGCGCCTCCACCCGAAGATATTTACTTTCAGCCAAGGCCCCGCCTCTCTCCGCCCCGGCCCCGCCTCCCCGCGGCCCCCTCCCCAGCTCCGTTGAACTCCGCCTCCTCCGAGTCTGGGAAGAAGAGAAAGTGAGAGCAGCGCTGCTCTTGCGGGATTTTAGAGGGAGGGAGGGAAAGGTGTGTGTGTGTGTGCGCGTGCGTGCGTGCGTGTCTTAGCGAGGCATTGCTCACAACCCGGTGAAGCGTTCAAATGACCTGGTTACTGCTGTCGTGTGAACACAGCCACCTCCTCGCTGATTCTTCTCGTGAGGCTCTCCAATCTTCTCGTGAGGCTCTTCGCCCCACAGGGTTTTTTGGGGGGAACCTTCAGGCAGAAAGTGGCGGCGGAGGATCTGAAGGGGATGGCGGCGTGTTTGGGCAGCGTCAGGCTCGGGACCCCGCTGCTTCTCACCCCAGGGGCAGGGGTAGGCAACCTTGGCTCTTTTATGACTCGTGGACTTCAACTCCCAGAATTCCTGAGCCAGCAGAGCTGGCTCAGGAATTCTGGGAGTTGAAGTCCACGAGTCATAAAAGAGCCAAGGTTGCCCACCCCTGCCCCGGGAAGAAGGATCCGAACGCCGCGCTGAGTGGTGCGTTGTATTTACACCTGCCACGGAAAACAGCTTCGCTCCGCCAATGACAGCGCCCGGTCCCCACCCTCGCCCCACCCCTTCGGCCCCTAGCCCGCCTCCTCCCGAGTGCCGCTGGCGTTCTCGGCCCATCCAAAGTCTGTCGGGTTCGTGAGGGAAAGAGAGGAAACAGCGCTGCGTAGCAATACAAATCTTGTTTGCCACCGCAATAAAAGGCGCAACAAATGGAGAGAAGCAGCAGGTGTTCCTGGGCGGCGCTTCTGAAAATAGCAACTGTATGCTGATCAGATCTTTGGGTGTGTGTGTGTGTGTGTGTGTGTCTGTGTGTCTGTGTGTGTGCTGATCAGATCTTTGGGTGTGTGTGTGTGTGTGTGTGTGTGTGTGTGTGTGTGTGTGTGTGTGTGTGTGTGTGTACGTGCTATATCAGAGAGTTTGGGAAAGCGCCCCTTCTGCCCCCTCCCCTGGCTTTCCCCTCTGACAAGCCCTGGGGACAGTGTCCAGACCAGTAATGGCGAACCTTTTAGAGCAGTGGTTCTCAACATTTTTAATGCCGCGACCCCCAACTGGTCATAAGTCGAGCACTACCCAACCGGTCGTACATTGAGGACTACCCAACTGGTCATAAGTTGAGGACTTTCCCTGCCCGGGAGCGCCACGCATGCGTGGTGCCGCCCCCTGCGCCGGCCGAAGCGTAGCAGAATGGGACTTTTGGCGGGCTCAGCAGGGCAGAGGCAGCCTGGACAATTCCTATTGGCTTTTGAAAGCCAATAGAATTAGACTCTATTCAAGAGAGTCTATTCTATTGGCTTTCAAAAACCAACAGAATAAAAGGGAGTAGCACAGCTAAGGAAAAGGGGGAAAAAATGGCAGACTGCATTGTCTGGTGACCCCCATGAAATGGTCATTCGACCCCAAATGGGGTCCCGACCCACAGGTTGAGAACTGCTGTTTTAGAGAGTGCCTAAAAACTGGCCCTGCCCCGCCTGCCCATAGGGCCATTGATTGCCTCCAGGGCCCACCGCAGATCGCCCAGCAGCGCCACGGTGGCCCTGCCCTCGGCCCACGCCCTGCAGCATTAACTGTGGGTGATGGGGTGTGAGGGCAGAGTCTTGTCTACGCTGTCTGGCTGCCATCTCCTTGGCTGCGCTGCTCCGTGTGGGCAACGCTCAGGGGGCGACTCTCCTCCAGGGGGGCTGCTGGTGAGGAGGGGGTCACGGGGGAGGCAAGTCTGGGGCAACGGCATGTGTGCCCACAGAGAAGGCTCCAAGTGCCGCCTCTGGCACCCGTGCCATAGGTTCGCCAACACTGGTCCAGACTCCCAGCTGCGGTTTCTGCATAGTCTTCCAGGGGAGCCCAAGGAAGAGCACCAGCAGCACCAGAGCACCGGCAGCAAAAAAGCCAACACAGTGCTCGGCTGTATTAACAGAGGGATAGAATCAAGATCACGTGAAGTGTTAATACTACTTTATAATAGCTCGGTAAGGCCATGCTTGGAATACTGCATCTAGTTTTGGTCACCACGATGTAAAAAAGATGTTGAGACTCTAAAAAGGGTACAGAGAAGAGCAACAAAGATGATTAGGGGACTGGAGGCTAAAGCATATAAGGAACAGTTGCTGGAATTGGGTATGTCTAGTTTAATGAAGAGAAGGATGAGGGGGGACATGATAGCAGTGTTCCAATATCTCAGGGGCTGCCACAAAGAAGCTATTTTCCAAAGCACCTGAAAGCAGGACAAGAAGCAACGGATGGAAACTAACCAAAGAGAGAAGCAACCTAGAACTAAGGAAAAACTTCCTGGCAGTTATAACAATTAAGCAGTGGAACAACCTGCCTCCAGAAGCGGTGAATGCTCCAACACTGGAAGTTTTTAAGAAGAAACTGGACAGTCATTTGTCCGAAATGGTATAGGGTTTCCTGCCTGAGCAGGGGGTTGGACTAGATGACCTCCAAGGTCCCTTCCAACATTATTATTATTATTATTATTATTATTATTATTATTATTATTATTATTATTATTATTGATCATCGCACAGTCAGCCAGATGTTCAGACTGGATTTGTCTACCTATACTTACCCAGAACCTGGGATAGGCAGATGTGGATGTTTGATGGTATTACAGATATCGTCGCAGGATGGAAGCAGTTCCTAGTAAGGTCGCCTTTTGCAATTGACTAATAGCGAATTTGTCAATGCCAATGGTGTTCAAGTGGTGCTCCAGTTGTTTTGGGATTGCACCCAAGGAGGCTATTACTATTGGTACTACCCTTGCTTGCTTTTGCCACAGTCTTTCTATTTCTATCTGTAGGTCTTTGTATTTTGTTATCTTCTCCAGCTCTTTCTCTTCTATTCTGCTGTCTCCAGGCTTCTTCTCCTTCTCCTTCTTGTTCTTGTTATTGTTATTGTTGTAATCTAGCCTGGAGGATCATGAGAGTCGGGTTGGGGCTCTCACCGAACGGCAGAGGGGCAGGTGGCGTAGCAGCCAAATCCAAGCAAAAGGATTCCTGGCATTTTGCAAGCGCTCCCACAAGTGGCTCTCAAACTCCCTAAAGTGTTTTGGGGCACAGAGGGGCTCAGGCTCCTGACAGGGCGAGGAGGAGGGGCCTTTTGAAGAGCAGAAGTCAAGCTAGGCAAGAGAGAGGCATGCCTGAGTCCCAGGGAGGGAGGAGCAGAGGGGATAAATCCTAGGTCAGGGGTAGGCCACCTTGGCTCTTTTATGACTCGTGGACTTCAACTCCCAGAATTCCTGATCCAGCCATGCTGAGGGGAAAGGGAGAGGTTTCCAAGCTGAGCCATGCTGGCTCAGGAATTCTGGGAATTGAAGTCCATGAGTCATAAAAGAGCCAAGGTTGCCTACCCCTGTCTACATAATCCCTGAGGTTTTCCTAACAGGGACTCCAGGACTGGCCAGCCCTGTGAGATGGAGAATTTTGGAAGGGAGAGAAGAAGCTTTGGGGGACACCCATGGGGTGTGCCCCTTGCCCTGCTCATTGACAAGCCTCAGGGGCTCCTACTGGCAAGGATCCTCACCCCAAACCTCTCCGTGGGATTTGAGAGCAGGAGGACAAGGTGGATCCGACAAGGGGTTTTCCTTTTACTTAGGGGTCCACATCTTGATGCAAAATACCAGAGGAAGGGAGGCGTGGTGGCGCAGTGGTTAAAATGCAGTATTGCAGGCTACTTCTGCTGACCAGCAGTTCAGCAGTTCGATCCTGACCAGCTCAAGATTGACTCAGCCTTCCATCCTTTCAAGGTCGGTAAAATGAGGATCCAGGTTGTTGGGAGGCAAGAGGCTGACTCTGTAAATCGCTTAGAGAGGGCTGTAAAGCGGTATATAAGTCTTAAGTGCTATTGCTAATATGAGAGAGAGAGAGAGAGAGGACTGAAGCCATAGCTCCCCAGATGGCTTAGTAAAGAGACTAAAAGGAGATAGCCCTTCACTCTTTGGGTTAATATGCTTATTGCTCTCCCAGACCCCTTGCGAGTCTAGGTGGAATTGTCGTGCCCTCCGCCAGAGACCTACCCCTGCCACTGGTCCCCATCCTCCTCCCCCTGTCCCACCCTGTTGCCTGGCCACGGGCAATTCACCCAGAGACATTATCCCTGGCCAACTCGTGGCTAGAGGGAACCGGTCCAGGAGGATTGGGGCCACTTGGAGGTTTATCCGTGTCCTCAGGGCCACCTGAGTGGTGCAAATGGGTGCGGAGTCATTTTGTGACTGCTGAAAGGACTGTGTTGTCGATTGGAGGTAGATGATGTCGTATCCCTCCCCCTCTGTTGAGAGAGGGCTGTTCAGTGTTGACACAGATGGCCTCTTTGACCCCTCTTTCAAACCAGCGGTCCTCTCTGTCCAAAATGTGGACTTTGTCAACAGGCTCTCTGTCAACAGAGGGGGAGGGAAAGGACATCTTCTATCTCCAGTCTATAAGCAGTTCCAAAAAGGCTCCACATCCATTTGTACCACTCAGGTGACCCTGAGGACACAGATAAGCCTCCAAATTGTTTTGCCATTGAACTCAAAAGAGCTTTTCACTACTCAATTGAGCCTGAAATTTCTGCTGCTAAGGAAGACATTTGTTCAGTGAACTTTGCCCCACTGGACCACCTTTCCATCCACAAGTTGTTACGTGAATCACGGCAGTTGTTAAGTTAGTAACACAGCTATTGAGTGAATGTGGCTTCCCCATTGAGTCTGCTTGTCAGAAGGTCCCTAAATGTCGAGGACTACCTGTATGGCTACATTTCTACAATAAAGGAAGTCAAAAGGCATATTATTTTAAAAAAAGGAATCTGTCATCATTTCGTACAGCCTCCTAGTAACAAACTGATTGTGAGCTATAAATTCACGGTGTTAACCTTCCAAGCAAAGCTAAACTTTAGGACAGGGGTCCCCAACCCCTGCTCAGTGGACCGGCACTGGGCCACACAAACAAGAGAAGCCCCATCCTTGTGATGCAGGCAGCATGCGAAGCCACACCCCCTCCGGTTGGCAGAAAAACCTCTCTCTACGGAACTGGTCCCTGGTGCCCCAAAGCTTGAGGACCTGCTGCTTTGGGGTGAAGGTTCGTAATTTAAAATGATCAGTTAAAAATAATTTTATAAGACTTCGCTTCAAAAGACTGAGGCCCTCTTTTAATGATTGTTCCCCCCTTCCACCCTAGGAAGTGTTAATACCACTTTAAAATGCCTTGGTAAGGCCACACATGGAATACTGCATCCAGTTTTGATCATTACGATGTAAAACAAAAATGTTGAGACCCTAGAAGGAGTGCAGAGAAGAGCAACAAAGATGATTAGGGGACTGGAGGCTAAAACATATAAGGAACGGTTGCTGGAATTGGGTATGTCTAGTTTAACGAAGAGAAGGACAAGGGGGGACATGATAGCAGTATTCCAATATCTCAAGGGCTTCCATAAAGAAGAGGGAGTCAAGCGCCTGAAGGCAGGACAAGAAGCAATGGATGGAAACTAACCAAAGAGAGAAGCAACCTAGAACTAAGGAGAAACTTCAATTAACCAGTGGAACAACTTGCCTCCAGAAGTTGTGAATACTCCAACACTAGAAGTTTTTAAGAAGAAGTTGGACAATCATTTATCTGAAATGGTATAGGGCAGTGTTTCTCAACCTTGACAATTTTAAGGCATGTGGACTTCAACTCCCAGAATTCCACAGCCAGCAATGCTGGCTGTGGAATTCTGGGAATTGAAGTCCACATGCCTTAAAACTGTCAAGGTTGAGAAACACTGGTATAGGGTTTCCTGCCTGAGCAGGGGGTTGGACTAGGAGAAACATGGTTCCGATCTGATAGGTAGTGCTGTGGAAGCGCCAAAAATACACTAAAGTGACAATTATCTATCTATCTATCTATCTATCTATCTATCTATCTATCTATCTATCTATGTGTGGGGGGAGGGTTGTAACATTTTATGAAAGCCAGAAGTGTTTACATGCCATAAAGCACCTTTTATGGGCCTGTTGTGGTGTCATATAGTTGTTCTTAGGTCCCGGATTACCTCTGTATACCACACGGAGCATGCTATGCTCTGTCCTGCCCTGCCCTGCCCTGCCCTACCCTACTCTACCAGACCCTACCATACCAGACCCTACCCTATCATAACCTACCCTACCCTACCCTATCATACCCTACCCTACCCTATTCTACATACCCACCCTACCCTACTCTACCATACCAACCATACCCTAACATACCATATATTACCCTTCCCTACCTTATCCCACAATACCCTACCCTACCCTAACAACCATACCGTACCATACCCTACCCTAACATACCATACCAACCATCTCTAACATACCATATCCTACCCTTCTCTACCCTATCCCACCATACCCAACCCTACCCTGCCATACCACACCATACCCTACCATACCCTAGTCTAACCTACCATACCCTACCCTACCCTACCAACCATACCCTAACGTACCATACCCTACCCTTCTCTACCCTATCCTACCCTACCCTACCCTGCCATACCATACCATACCCTAACACACCATACCATACCATACCATACCATACCATACCATACCATACCATACCCTCCAAGATCCCCCCAACATCATCATCACCACCACCACCACGATGATGATGATGATGATGATGATTTAAACATGAACCTCAGTCAACTGAACATTCAGATTGGCTGGCGCTGATGGTTGACACGGGTTGCTACCAGCATCCTAGGTGTCAACCAGGTACCTCCTTAAAATATAAGATAATGATGATGATGATTGATGTGTCCTGGCTGCAGCCATGGGAAGAGTGGTGGGAATGGAAAAACAGATGGGAATACCTGGAGTGTGTGTGTGGGGGGGGGGGGGGGAGAGGATGGAAAGGGGATCCATCGTAGGATGGAGAGATTGTCCTGTCTCCTCCTCCTAGATCTGACTCTTCCAGGATGGGACGGGTCCAATCTGGCTCAGTTCCCAGCAACGGGCGAAGCCTGTCAGGTACCACCTTAGTCTGGACCCGCTCTGAAGTTCTCCCCCCCTCATCACCTCTCTAAAACCTCATTTATCGGGTGGCGCCCTGGGGCTTGGCTGATGGGCTGGGGGGGCGGAGAATTTCAGCGGAGCTCCGGGGGGGGGGAGGAGGGGGCGGAGCGGAGAGAAAGTGGCTTCGGTTGGGAAAGTCAAATGTCCGGGAGGGTGGAAGAAGATGCCACCATGCCCGGCGTGCCTCTTGGTCCTGGGGGCGGCGCTGGGGGTCTCCGTGCCGGGGGACTGCTGCGGTGAGTGGGGTGGGTACAAGCCGAAAGGGAGGGGCAGAGCCTGTCCTGGGCCGGGTCTCTCCCCTCCCCTCCCCTCCCCTCCCTCTCGCAAGCCGCTTCCTTCCCAGGTGCTTCGCCAAGCCTCGTTAAAAAAAAAAACTGCTCGGATTTCCTTTGGAGTCAGTTCGAATTTTGTTTCTGAGAAAGTGAAAAGAGAACACCGTTCGGAGCGGGGAAGGAAGAGGAGGAGGGGGGCGGCTACGGGCGAGTTCCCGGAAGGATTGGATCGCGGGGCGGGGGGGGGAGGAAGCACCAAGGGCGCGTGTGCCCTTCCTGCGTCTCTCTCTCCCCCCCCTTACTTCCCCCCCCCCGTCCCAAACTCTTTCGCGCTTCGTTTAAGTCGTTTTAATGCTTTTTTGGTAATCGGTTCGCGTTTGTTTCGGGGGAAAGGGAAAGTGAAAGGGAATGTTCAGAGCGGGGCGGCGCCCGCCCGCGCGCGCGCGTGTGTGTTGGGGGAAAGCAGAAAGGGAGAAGGCGTAGCGTGTCCTGCCCCCCCCCTCACTCTCTCTCTCTCTCTCCCCCCCCCCATCTTCTGCTCACCTGGCAAGCTGGCTTCAGGCTCTTCTCCAACAAACTGAAACAAATTATTAGGCTGGATCTCTCTCTCTCTCTGTGTCTCTCTTCTTGTCCTGCCTTCAGGTGCTTTAGAGAATAGCTTGACTCCCTCTTCTTTGTGGCAGCCCCTGAGATATTGGAACACAGCTATCATGTCCCCCCTCGTCCTTCTCTTCATTAGACTAGACATACCCAATTCCAGCAGCCTTTCCTTATATACTTTAGCCTCCAGTCCCCTAATCATCTTTGTTGCTCTTCTCTGTACTCTTTCTAGAGTCTCAACATCTTTTCTCCCAAGCACATCCGAAAGAGGGTAGACCACTTTGTTCTGGTGGCACTGTGGGGAGGGAGACAATAAAATGTGACAATAAAATGTTGGAGGGTCTGGAGCTGCAGCGCAGACCCCCCCTAATTCTACCCTTCTCCCTTCCCAGGCTCTCCCTCACACTTCCTGCGTTATTCCTACCTGCATTTGTCAGAGCCCAGCCGGTTCTTAGTTTGGGGCAAACTGGACGACCAGCCCATCATTCACTTTGACAGCCTCACCGGGAGGGTGGAGACTCTGGTGTGCTGGATGGAGGAGGTGAAGGAGGGGACCTTTCTGCCTGTTGAGTGGGTCTTCAGGAGCGATCTGGAGAATTTGTCAAATCTCAACAACCTCAATGAAGGTGAGAAGAGGTCCTACTACATTTGATGTCCAGGTTAGACTTTCTTTCCTGCAAAGGTATGCCCCCCCCCCTCCTCACCCACATTTTGTCCCACACTTTAGACCTTCTTCATGGTCCAGTCGCTATACCAAAACAGTTAATTGCAGGGATCACTAAAAGATTCATTCAATTTTGCAGGTACTAAGATTGTTGGACGAGCAGGCACAAAAACAGCCAGGGAAATGATTGAAGCTTGGGAAATAGGCTCCTTGTCAGTCCACAGGAGTGCTAATTTACCCCCAGTGTATCAAGTACTTAAGCAGCAAAGGCTGGGCAACACAAGCAAACAACAGCTAATAACTTAAAAGTGGGCCATCCACACACCCAAATCAACATCTAAAAAGCCACTTACAACAGGCACTATAAATACTCCACAAAGAACAGTGCATACTCTGCTAGAGAAGTTCCCTGAAGATGGGCTCCAGCATGAATCTGAAAACTTGGAAGGCAAAACTCAATTTTGATCATCACAATGTAAAAAAGATGTTGAGACTCTAGAACAGTGGTTCTCAACCTTTCTAATGCCGTGACCCCATAATACAGTTCCCCATGTTGTGGTGACCCCCAAATGGGTGTGGCCACCAATAAGAGGGAGTAGGACAGCTAGGGAAAAGGGAAAAAAATGGCGGACAGGTGGTTTGGCGACCCCCGTGAAATGGTCATTCGACCCCAAATGGGGTCCCGACCCACAGGTTGAGAACCACTGCTCTAGAAAGAGTGCAGAGAAGAGCAACAAAGATAATCAGGGGACTGGAGGCGAAAAAATACTGAAATTTGGTATGTCTAGTTTAATGAAGAGATGACATGATAGCAGCCTTCCAGTATCTCAGGGGCTGCCCCAAAGAAGAGGGAGTCAAGCTATTCTCTAAAGCGCCTGAAGGCAGGACAAGAAGCAACAGATGGAAATTAATCAAGAAGAGAAGCAACCTAGAACTAAGGAGAAATTTTCTGACAATTAGAATGTAATGAAGCTAAGAAAAAGACTCAGGCATTTCTTGAGCAGAGGTTTGAAGCTGCAGGACACAGCTTGACAAACTGAGTTTATTGCTTCTTATATACTTTTTACATACATAGGCTTTTACATTAAATGCTGACATTTTACATTCATAAGTTTAACCTTTAGATGCTGACATAAAGTTTCTTTATTGGAAAATTCCTTCATATAAGCAACTATTTTCTAGTAATATATTACTTGTTCAGAGACCAGGTAAAGACAAATAAAGGGAGATGAAAGATAGGAAGAGATAAGAGGGAACTTAAGCATATTATTTATTTAGATAGGTAAGGTATTAAGTCAAAAGGGGATGACCTTTTGGCTGCTTCCTTGGGACAAAGGGTATCAAAAGGTTATGAGGTTTGTGGGGGGGGGGGGAAGCATGGCAGTTTGCTGCACGTGCAGTTTTCCCCACATTAGAACAATTAACCGGTGGAACAACTTGCCTCCACAAGCTGTGAATGCTCCAACACTGGAGGTTTTTAAGAAGAGACTGGACAACCATTTGTCTGAAATGGTACAGGGTTTCCTGCCTGAGCAGGGGTTGGACTAGAATACCTCCAAGGTCCCTTCCAATTCTATTATTTTTATTTTTATTAAATAATAATAATAATAATAATAATAATAATAATTATTATTATTATTATTATTAGTCCAGATTGCATCACTTTCTTCTCTATGGGATTAAGACTGGAAGGACTAAGACACAGGTCAGCAACCAGCAGCTCTGGAGCCTCATGCAGCTCTTTGAGCCTTCCCCTGTGGCTCCCAGCCTTCTCTGCCATTTGCAGAGAGAGACAGAGACAGAGAGAGGCACTTGCGCTTTCCTGCTTCGCTGTCTGTCTCTGTCTGTCTCTGTCTGTCTGTCTGTCTGTCTGTCTGTCTGTCTGTCTGTCTCTCTCTCTCTCTCTCTCTTTCTGTGTTTGTGTGTGTGTGTGTGCATGTAAAAGAGAGTAGACTCACGGTGTTCTCCAAGGAGCTGAAAAGCTTATTGGGTGGGGCTCCTCCCTTTGCTGCCTCTCTACAGGAAGCAGGAAGGGCAGGAGAGAGCTAGCTAGCCCAGCTATGCTGACTCAAGAATTCTGGGAGTTGAAGTCCATGAGTCATAAAAGAGCCGAGGTTGCCTACCCCTGAGCTTGTTGGAGAACAGCTTGAAGCCAGCTTGCCAGGTGAGCAGAAGATTGGAGAGAGGGAGAGGGAGAGAGAGAGAAAGAGAGGGAGAAAGAGAGGGAGGGAGGGAGAGAGAGAGAGAGAGAGGAAAGAGAGAGAGAGAGAGAAGAAGAAGAAGACTGGCAGACCAAGGGCAGAAAGAGAGAGAGGGAGAGGGGGAGAGAGAGGGAGGGAGGGAGGAAGAGAGAGAGAGAGAGAGAGACCCTTTTGATATCTAAAATGCAGAACAGACTGATTTATAGTTGGTAGACCGGGTGCCTAACCCAACAGGTAAGATAGATAGATAGATAGATAGATAGATAGATAGATAGATAGATACCTATAATAAAGGTAAAAAAGTATATATGCAGTGTTATTTTCATTTTAGATATCAAAAGGGTTTTGCAGCTCCCAGTGTTTTGTTTTCGGTGAAAAACGGGTCCAAGTGGCTCTGTGAGTGTTTTGGGTTGCCTACCCCTGGACTAAGAGATTGGGGCTCCCTCTGCTGGCCAGATGAGGGCAAGGCTCCTTGCCTGAGATTCCTTAATGGCCCCCAATGAAAGAGAAAAGGGCCTGAGGAGAGGAAAACAAGCTAGTCCTCAAATAACACAACGTTTAGTGACCATTGTTAAGATATTTAAAATGTAATAGGTGGAGCAGTGGAGGGTTGGACAAATGAATCAGAACAGATAGGTATAGCTGATTGACTAAAGAGTGCTGGCCACTACCTGAGGGAATCTTAGCTGTGATTGGTTGCCTGGAGTGAAAAGGGGGAGGTTCTTGATTTACCTGACGATGCTCCTGTTTGCTGCTCTTTTTTTTTTTTTTTTACTGTAAATATATTTATGTAAAATTTCAGATTCCTGTCAGCATCTTCGACTCTATTTGGTCTGTGGTCGTGTAATTCCCTGACATCATTCGCCGATACGATGACACTGGAAAAATGATTTATGACCGTTTATTCTATTCTTATTCCATTCCATTCCACCTCCATCCCATTCCCATTCCCTATTCTATTCTATTCTATTCTATTCTATTCTATTCTATTCTATTCTATTCTATTCTATTCTATTCTATTCTATTCTTTCACTTAACAAATGTGACAAGAAAGGTCAAAACTCAACCAATTTCTCAATTAACAACATAAATTTGGGTTCAGTTGTAGTCATAAGTTACTTAATAATAATAATGATAAAGTTGGAAGGGACCTTGGAGGTCATCTCGTCCAACCCCCTGCTCAGGCAAGAAGCCCTATACCATTTCAGACAAATGGCTGTCCAGTTTCTTCTTAAAAACTTCCAGTGTTGGCGCATTCACCACTTCTGGAGGCAGGTTGTTTTACTGGTTAATTGTTCTAACTGTCAGGAAGTTTCTCTTTAGTTCTAGGTTGCTTCTCTCCTTGATGAGTTTCCATCCGTTGCTTCTTGTCCTGCCTTCAGGTGCTTTGGAGAATAGCTTGACTCCCTCTTCTTTGGGGCAGCCCCTGAGATATTGGAACACTGCTATCATGTCCCCCCTTGTCCTTCTCTTCATTAAACTAGACATCCCAATTCCAGCAACCGTTCCTTATATATTTTAGCCTCCAGTCCCCTAATCATCTTTGTTGCTCTTCTCTGTACTCTTTCTAGAGTCTCAACATCTTTTTTACATCGTGGTGACCAAAACTGGATGCAGTATTCCAAGTGTGGCCTTACCAAGGCATTGTAAAGTGGTATTAATACTTCACGTGATCTTGAGTCTATCCCTCTGTTAATGCAGCCTAGCACTGTACTGGCCTTTTTGGCAGCTGCAGCACACTGCTGGCTCATATTTAAGTGATTGTCCACTAGGACTCCGAGATCCCTCTCATAGTTACTACTATTTACCTTTAAAGCCCTATATGGCTCAGGGCCAGGCTATTTGTGAGACCGCCTTCTACCTCATAGTTCCCTTCGTCTGGTTAGATCCCACAGGCTGGGCCTCCTTCAGGTCCCGTCGGCCAAGCAGTGCCATTTGGCAGGGCCGCGGGCTTTCTCTGTGATGGCGCCCACGTCTTGGAACCAGCTCTCCCCGGAGATTAGGACCACTCCCACCCTGTTGGTTTTCCGTAAGCTGCTTAAGACCTGGCTTTTCCGGCAGGCCTGGGGTTTATAAAATCTGACCCCTGGATGACTGTCATTGTATTGTTTGTTTTGTCATGTTATATGGTGCTTTTATTGTTAGCCGCCCAGAGTCCTGCGGGAGTGGGGCGGCTTATAAATTTTAAAAATAAATAAATAAATAAATAAATATTGAGCAGGGCATCCCCTATACTATACATACACATTTGGTTTTTCTTGCCTAAATGTAGAACCTTACTTTTTTCACCATTGAATTTCATTTTGTTAGATAGTGCCCAGTGTTCAAGTCTGTCCAGATCCTCCTATATCCTAAGCCTGTCTACTGGAGTGTTGGTTATTCCTGCCAGCTTGGTGTCATCTGCAAATTTGATGAGTTCCCCATCTATCCCCTTGTCCAGATCGTTGATGAAGATGTTGAAGAGCACTGGGCCCAGAACAGAGCCCTGGGGCACCCCACTACACACTTCCCTCCACATAGATGCGGTTCTATTGAGGACCACACACTGAGTACGACTGGTCAGCCAGCTACGGATCCATCTGGTGGTGATGCTATTTAACCCGCATTTTTCTATCTTATCGAGTAGTAGGTTGTGATCTACTTTGTCAAATGCCTTACTGAAGTCTAAGTACATTAAAACATGAAGCTCTGAGTTCCATTTCTGCACCCCACTGGAGGAGTTTCCTTCCATGCTTAGCACTTAACCACTGGCTCACTTAGCGACAGAAAAGTTTGGCTCAGTGATGGTCGGATGTCAAGGATCATCTTTAATTTAACAACTGTGGTTGTTAATTTAACAACTGTGCTATCAAAGGTAGCAAGAAAAGTGGTAAAATGGGGTGAAACTCAGCCAACATAAATTCTGGGCCCAAATTGTCGTAAGTAGAGGACTACCTATACTGGATCCTTCTCATCCATCCCTCTTTGGATCTCTTTTAGAGCTTCATACCTGGCAGGCAATTGTGGGCTGTGAGCTCAGGAAAGATGGGAAGAATGATGGATTTTTCCGCTATGGCTATGATGGGATGGACTTCCTCAGCTTCAAGAAGGAGACCCCCAGATGGGTGGCAGATCAGCGCCAGGCTGAGAAGGTCAAGGAGAAGTGGGAGGATCATCCAGAGCGGTCCCAGGAAAATAAATTTTACCTGGAGAAGAGCTGCATCAAGTTGCTGCGGAGGTACCTGTCCTACAAGAAGGAGGCTCTGGAGAAGACAGGTGAGTGACCAAATAGCAATAGCACTTAGATGTATATACTGCTTCATAATGCTTTTTACACCCCTCTCTGAGTGGTTTACAGAGTCAGCATCTTGCTCCCAACAATTTGGGCCCTCATTTTTACTGACCTCGGCACTGACCTTTTTCTGCTATTAAATTACCTGGCCAGAAAATCCTGGGAATTGTGTTGCTGCTGTTTCTGCAAAGCCCCCAAAAGGGAAGGTGACCCACAAGCTGATTAATGACAGCCAGGAGATCCTCGTCTGCGAGGCCTATGGCTTCTACCCCACGGAGATCCAGGTCAACTGGACGAGGGATGGAGAGAACTGGGAACAAGGAATCATCCGTAGGAATGTGACCCCCAACTCAGATGGGACCTACTATGTCTGGATCGGCATTAAGATCAATCCCGAGGAGAGGAACCGTTCTCATTGTCACCTGAAGCATGAAGGCTTGGAGGAGCCCCTGGTATTGGCTTTCAAGGAGGAAACGGGTAAGAGGCTGAGCTAAAATGACATGTAGAAGTGTCCATAGAGATTCTGCATCAACCAGATCATGGTTGTCCCAAAGTTGCTTTTCAAAAGGCAACTGGGCTTTCTTAGCCACCTTTGGGACATGTAGATGTAGATACTTCAGCATGTTGGAAAGTATAGGGAGAGGAATGTTACATTTTCTGTCTTTATCATTACAAGCTGGAAAACAGGAAGTATAGTCTTGCATTTAGTCATGAGAGAGAAGTGATTTTTGACAGGCGGGCTGGAAGTGGGAATTTAAGGACAAGGTATGAAGGTTCATATGGTAAGGTAGGGTAGGGTAGGTAGGGCTTGGTACAGCAGGGTAAGGTATGGTAAGGTATGGTAGGGTAGGGTAGGGTATGGTGGGATAAGTTAGGGAAGGGTAGGGTATGGTACGTTAGGGTATGGTTGGTATGGTAGGGTAGGGTAGGGTATGGTATGGTAGGTTAGACTAGGGTAGGGTATGGTAAGGTATGGCAGGGTAGGGTGGGGTATGGTGGGATAGGGTAGAGAAGGGTAGGGTATGGTATGTTAGGGTATGGTTGGTATGGTATGGTATGTTAGGGTAGGGTAGGGTAGGGTAGGGTATGGTGGGATAAGGTTGGGAAGTGTAAGGTATGGTATGTTAAACTATGGTTGGTATGGTAGGGTAGGGTATCATAGGGTAGGTCTGGTATGGTAGGGTCTGGTAGATTAGGATAGGACAGGACAGGGCAGGGCAGGGCAGAGCATAGCATGCTTGGTGTAGTATACAGAGGTAGTCCGGGACCTAAGAACAACCATATGAAACCACCACAGGCCCAGAAATGGTGCTTTATGGCATGTAAACACTTCTGGCTTTCATAAAATGTTACAACCCTGCCCCCACACATAGATAGATAGATAGATAGATAGATAGATAGATAGATAGATAGATAGATAGATAGATAGATAATTGTCACTTTACTGTATTTTTGGCTCTTCCACAGCCCTATCTATCAATCAAGATTTGTGGATTTCTGTGGGAATTGCAGTCACGATCTTGGGAATTGGGATTCTACTCTTCATATGTAAGTGAAACAAACACATCCACTGACTTGCACTCCTGTGTTGACTTTGCTGGTATGACATCCTCTCTGCGAGTTTCGCCTGTCGTCCCCCAAACCCCCTTCCCCACAAACAGCATTTGGAACAAGAGTCTGAAAGGAGGAAGAAACCATGCAGCCATTTTCCCATTTCCTATATATGTTTCAAAATGTTCCACCTTCCTGTTTGGGAGGGAGCCTCTTTGCCTTCAGTGGGCTTCCTCCAGAGGAGAAAATGTCAGGGGCTCAGGAATCGAAGAAAAGTCCAACAAATGATCTGGGAAGCACTAGAAATCCATAATCTTGCACTTGAAGAAGAGTTCAGGTGGAAGGTGGGAGTGATGGAGGGAGGGAGGGACCCCTTGTCTTCTTCCCCCACTTGCACTCACAAGACCATAACAGGGAAGAAGGTCCAGCAGAAGCTGCTGCTTGCTCTGCTCCCAATCAGCAGAGACGGAGGATGGATGTGGGCCATGTGTCTCCTCAGTGGAGCGTCACCAAATGTGGCTCAGCACAAGCTTGTGATTTTCTCAGTAACACTGAAGAAGGGCTCTGCCATTTCCTTCTTCCAGGACAGTGGTTCTCCACCTGTGGGTCGGGACCCCATTTGGGGTCGAACGACCATTTCACGGGGGTCGCCAAACAACGCAGTCCGCCATTTTTTCCCCCTTTTCCTTAGCTGTGCTACTCCCTTTTATTCTATTGGCTTTTGAAAGTCAATAGAATAGACTCTCTTGAATAGAGTCTAATTCTATTGGCTTTCCAAAGCCAATAGGAATTGTCCAGGCTGTCTCTGCCCTGCTGAGCCCGCCAAAAGTCCCAGTCTGCAAACGGTGCTGCACCAGTTGAGTACTCCTCGACTTACGACCGGTTGAGTAGTCCTCGGCTTACGACCGGTTGGGGGTCGCGGCATTAAAAAGGTTGAGAACCACTGTCCCAGGAGGTGCCTTTGGACTTGTTTGCAATTTATGCGTCTCCCTTGCCAGTCTCAGGAACACACGCTAAACTAATCAGACCCAGCCTAGCCTTTCAAGATCAGCCAAGGTTGCTGGTTTTTCCGTCTGTCTAGGTTGCGAATGGGAGTGTAATGATCAAGGCCTGGAGACTAAAACATATGAAGAACAGCTGTGGGACTTGGGTTTGGCTAGTCTAAAGAAAAGAAGAAACAGGAATGACATGACAGCAGCATTCCAGTATCTGAGGGGCTGCCACAAAGAAGAGGGGGTCAAACTATTCTCCAAAGCACCTGAAGGCAGGACAAGAAGCAATAGATGGAAACTAACCAAGGAGAGAAGCAACCTGGAACTAAGGAGAAACTTCCTGACAGTTAGAACAATTAACCAGTGGAGCAACCTGACTCCAGAAATCGTGGGCGCTCCATCACTGGAGGTTTTTAAGAAGACGCTGAACAATCACTTGTCTGAGATGGTATAGGTTCTCCTGCTTGAGCAGGGGGCTGGACTAGAAGACCTCCAAGGTCCCTTCCAACTTCTATTCTATTCTATTCTATTCTATTCTATTCTATTCTATTCTATTCTATTCTATTCTATTCTATTCTATTCTATTCATTTCTGTTTGTTTCTGTTTCTGTTTCTGTTTCTGTTTCTATTCTATTCTATTCTATTCTATTCTATTCTATTCATTTCTGTTTGTTTCTGTTTCTGTTTCTGTTTCTGTTTCTATTCTATTCTATTCTATTCTATTCTATTCTATTCTATTCTATTCTATTCTATTCTATTCTATTCTATTCTATTCCTATTCCTATTCCATTCCATTCGTTTTGGTTTCTGTTTGTTCCTATTCTATTCTATTCTATTCTATTCTATTCTATTCTATTCTATTCTATTCTATTCTATTCTATTCTATTCTATTCTATTCTATTCTTAAGTGTATTCAGTCTTATACCAATAACAGAATTCCCGAAGGTTTAGCATCATTGCTTAAAAGTCACTAGCCAAATAACAGCATTGCAAGGCACCTTGGAGGTAACAACAACAACAACAATAAAGCTGGAAGGGACCTTGGAGGTCGTCTAGTCCAACCCCCTGCTCAGGCCAGAAGCCCTATACCATTTCAGACAAAGGGTTGTCCACTCTCTTCTTAAAAGCCTCCAGTGTTGGAGCACCCACAACTTCTGGAGACAGGTTGTTCCACTGATTAATGAGCCCTTATGGCCCAGTGGTTAGAATGCAGTATTGCA